GTCCTCAAGGATGGTAACGCATCTGTATTTTGATTCTTAATCGAGTATAGATGTACGAGTAGATGTCTATGGGCTACAGCATCCACTTACCATCAGGTGGACTGTGTGCTTGTTTTTCTATGTTATGATACTGTGGCATGCTATAATCATCATATAACTGCAGCATGCTTCTACCACGTCAAAAGTTTCCCGTAATATTAAAAGAACACCTACGAAGAACCTTCTATAAAAAAGAACACCATCGAAACTCACACAACGGTAAATGCAATACGCTCTTCACTGTTTATTGTAGTAATACGACAGTCATTAGTAATTTCAATTCCTACCTAATACCACTTAAGGCGCTGTACAAAAACTTGTCATCGTCACACAACTAACTCACCTTTTACTATACACAACAAAAACCTATACAATTATACAAGGCCAATGTAATTGCTTTAAGCAATATAAATATTATTAAAAAAAAACTCATATGAATAAAACGTCGCAGAGATCTAAATATTTATTATATAATATGTATTTCGTAATGTTGTAGGACTCATTTTGTGACTGGGAGGCAGTCTAGATAGGTACCTCTTGTTTCTGCAGCTAAATAGCAGTGCTTGCTCTGCTGGTGTTCGGGCTGACTGTAATAGAGGGCCAATATAATTACAGGCTGTGAGGCGTTGCGCTTAGTCCTTAGAACTGACCACATGAATGGTTAAAGTAACGAAAAACATGCCGAGATGGTCATGGATATCGATCTGCGATCTGTATCTGTTTTTCCTTCAGACGAGCATGTTTTTAAACTTTTTCGACAATATCTCAGGAAGTTGCTTCAATCGGTCGCCCTGAGCGGTGATCGTCTTCAATTGAGTCTCTGCCTTGCTTCTTGAAAAGCCTATGCCACTTATAAATCATCGTTTTTCCAGGGCAAGAGTCACCGTAAACAGATTACATCTTTTCCGTACTGATATGTGGTGTTTTTCCTTCCTTAGTAAAGAATTTAATCGCTGCACGAAATTTAATTTTTCCCATAGTTAGTGTTCACTTCCCGATTGGCTTGTTTATCATGTGATATCTCTAAGTTTCATGAACGGATCTGGTTGAAAATTGGTATTTATGGTTGTATTGAGTCACCAAATAGTGGCATTTAAAAAATCCTCCCTCCCCTCTCTAACCCCTCAATTTCGCGAACTTATTGACCGGCCTTCGTATATATACTAGTACAATGAACCTCGTCATATTATTAGCTTATCACTTTTTGGCATTTCTTTATATGTCAGCTTGCTGACAATAAACATATTCCTTAATTTAATTTTAAAAAAAAGTAGAAGACAAATTAGTGTTTCCTCGCTGTCACTTTTAATTTTAAACCCTTGTTATCCTTTAATTTATAAAAAGTCTTCAAGCAAAGATAACTTGGACATAGTTCCGCAGTTTTATAGTTGGTTTGTGATTGAAGTCTGTTAACGGCGCGATGCGGATCAATAACTTTGCCCAGTAAGCCCCGTGACGTGCAGGGAAATCCGCATTGTTAACCACGGTGCGATGGAAAATAAATTGGGAACGTTGCAGCCATTTTGCCTTATCTTCCGCTATCGCACTATGCACATTTGTAACTTATATTTTTAATTTTTGTATGTAGTTACCATTTTTCAAACTTCGAAAATAGAGGTTATTAGTAGTTCCTTGGTCCAGAGATAAGTCAAGACAATTTTTAATAGAGAATTTTAATAGTTATTTGTACTATTAAATAGGGCTGATGCAATAATATGGGCTCATTTTCAAGCTCAAAGTGTATTCTATCATGTACTCTTTTGATTTTCATGATTATCATCGATGAAGAGAGAAACTATTCTTAGTATTCTTCTTTCCATTACTTATTCTGCAACAGAAGCATTCTGTTGATATGTAATCCATTATTTTACAATTTTTCATTTTTATTTTACGTTAACATATTATGAAATTGATCTATCAATAAACACTACTAATTGGATAAGTTAATTTCGATAGTTTTCAATTGATTTATTTATTTAGTTCAAAAATTTTGTTGTTATTTTTTAGTACAGAAAGTTTGTTTCAAATTAATAGTATTTAATTATTGATAAGTCAATTACGTAATGTGTTAAATGTTAATTTAAAATAAAAAAATGTAATATATTAGTGCTAAGGCTTCTATTCCATTCACCTGTTACATCTAATTTTTTTCCAGACGGTAAAAAAGACATCCAGTATTGTGATGACCAGTATATTGACAGGGTGTCTTTCAAACATCGGTCTGGCTTACGACCAATGCCTCACTACCAATCATGTATTGCACTACATCACAAACAACTACTGGGTATAGTCTATTTCTGAGCTCTGAAAACACTATTTTCTTTGTTATTTCAACTAATTTTGTATTTTTCGTGTATGAGTTTAGATTATACATTAAATTTAAAAAAAAAACCCTTACCATTTCATTATTTTATTCTGTATGTTTTACATATTATTTGTTATTTTTTGATTCGTCCGTGCCAATTTGATTCGATGTGATTTACTTTTTATTACTTCTTTGTACTATGACCTATTACTGCCATGTGTCAACCTAATTTGAAAACATTTTTTAATAATTGTGTGTATATCATAAATTAAATACACTAGGAAGAAATTAAATTACCTCAACCATGTTTCCAATTGCAGTGTTGTGGTGCCTTCCTCTTTTTGTAACTGCGGCTCCGTGGTAGGTTAAATCGTCACGCTCATGTATCAAATAGCAAGAAGCACGATGCCCCTTTCCAATAGAGCATTAAATAATCTTTGGTTTAATAGCCACCTAGGATATTTGATTAGAAAATTGTAAAATTACTGTGTAAATATTTTCACTAAATTAAGTACGTGAAGAAGAGGTTAAATTATCTCAGCACAGTATCCAATAGTAGTGCTGCGGTGCCCGCTTCTGAATGTATTTCATCAATAATGATTCCTTAAATTTACGCGAGCACTACACATTGAATAAAACTAAATTTACGGATTTTATCGCGTTTATTTTACTACTTTTACTTATTTTTAATTCCCGACGTTTTGGTCCCCCCCCTCTAAGAAATGGGAATTAAAAATAAGTAAAAAGTAGTGAAATAAACGGATAAAATCCTAAATTTAATTTAAATTTTTCATTTTTTGGGTTCATGTGTATCAATCCATTAGCAAGAAGCGCGGGCCCCTTTCTACAGTATATTAAATAAACTTATATTAAAATTTTAACTTAAGTTTTGATGTAAATAAAAGGAAGGGGAAACCACTTTGCAGTATCAAATAGTGGCAATGTGCTACCTCTTCCTTTGCGTTATAAAATTAATAATGTTGCGAATAAATTTACACCAATAAGCTTCTAAATTGTAATATGTGACACCAAATAAAATTAAAAAAACTACTGGGTATGGGACCCTCCCATTGTAAAAACAATATGCCGTAATTGCCACGCTTATCGGGCGGATTGGCCACCACAGTACCTCTAATACCTGATTTCTCTACACTCTACAGTTCTACACTCACAATATGTCCGGACGTCCGTTATCAGGCAAGTAATGGTAAAAGGATGGCTTCCGCTCTGAATCACTCGTTTATGTTAGATCAAATCGCTGATAAAATTCTTACTTTTGAATTGATGAGTATCTAGTAGTTTCGCATCACTGTGCCGGACTTTCACTTCACCCATTGTATTCAGCTATCTGATTGAAAGTAAAGGCTTTGGTAAATTATCTATTTATATTGTTTAAATTTTCATTGTGCCGTATATGTGTACTTAAACTTTTTGAAACGGAAGATTTTCTTACCTCATACGTGGTAAAGCCACGCTGCAGCTATATTATAGTTGTAGCACGAATGGGTCGGCTCGACCGGGGAAGGACCACGCTCTTTCACAGAATACCAGCCGTAAATAGCAGCTTAATACTGCTATGTTTCGTATGGTGAGTGTAGACATCCGGATACTCTTTTCTTATTGGAAACGAGGCATTCCAACTTAGTCCTCAGGGGTGACAACGCATCTGCGTTTTGATTCTTAATCGAAGATAAATATAAATGTCTATGGGTCACGGCATCCACTTACCATGAGGTGGACTGTGTGCTCGTTTGTCATCCATATTCTATTTAAAAAAAAAACTATATTTGTTGTTTAATAAATATTATGCGATTATCCATGGTCGAATGCGAATAAGAATTAAAAATGAAGAACTAATTAGATTTTATTTTGACACCTAGATTAGGCATAGTTTATATGGTCACTGTGAAACTGCTATTTGCTTTTCTTTTTTTCAAAATGATAAAAAAATATATTTAAAATGATAATGCTACCTTTGAATAATACAGAACAATATAAAGAAGAGTATACGAGGTTTTTTTTTTTGTTGGTACTCATTAATCAACAGCCGTTAAACTCTATATCTCTCAATTTGACCGTTAAAAGGCTACAATAAAATATTATAACGTTCTTGGGTTTTGTCTACGATTGCCTTCATAATATTTAAAAAAAAACATTTATTTTATATGTATGTCCAGAAGCCGTTCTCTTGGTATTGCAGACACGCACGCGTCGTTACAGACGGATAGACGCCTCGCTTGATAATGCAGTCAAAGTTACACGTGTCGGTTATTTATTAACAATGTCAGCTTAAGCAATGTCTGTAGAATAGTTTTTGTATTATTATATAACTAAAATATAACATAGATTTTGATCGATTGATATCGTTTTTAAAATATCGCGTCTCTTACGGACATTACGGACATTTTCGGCAACTCGGCATTATTATAATATGCAAATACATATATGAATTTAAATTTGATGGGTGAGTTTTGGAATGTAATGTTGAGTTATCTGCCACTTCTGGCATGTATATCATTTATAGTAGAAATGTAGCCTCAACGCATCGTCTCGTGTTTCAGTCCTCCATTTTCGAAAAAGGACCTTTCGGAATTAATGGTAGCTTAGTTTTATTTAAATTAATTATCTAATTATTGATTCCTTGTCCTACCCACAGACAGGCTCCGGGAAAACGTACACAATGGGCAGTGGATGGGAGGGTGAAGGCGACGGTGATGAGTTCCGGCGCGGCATCATCCCGCGTGCAATCCGGGATCTTTTCGCGGGCGCCGAACAGCGTGCCGAAGCAGCGCGGGCACAGGGAAATTTGCCGCCTGAATTCTCCGTTCAGGCTCAGTTCATCGAGCTCTATAACGAGGACATCGTCGATTTGCTTGACCCCGCCAAGGACCCATTTGCTAAGGTATGTACGAGCGGTGTTTAAATTAAAATGTAAAATATTTTCTAAATACAAAATTCCCTCGAAGTCATTAAAGCTGTTTCCGAGACACCAAATACGTAATATAAACTTATATATAAGAAATTGTTGTATTGTCATCGGCAAATTTAAAACTATTCAAACGTTCGAAATCATGTGAAAATGAATTATAAAATTACATTTATACACAAATACATACAGGGTAAGCTAATAAAAGCGTATTAAACATAGCGTTCCATTATTCTTGATTGTATTTATGATAAAACTTAATTATGGGCACCAGACTACAGCTACGAAAGAAAATCATTTGATCACCTCGCCGCGCCGTGTAACCAATAATTGTTTAATTGGCTCCGCTAACGCTCTAATGGCGCGCTATCGTAAAAATAACAATCACTTCTTTTCTCTTTAGTTATGTACTTAAGTCGAAAGAAAGATTAATTAAATAAAGTGACTGTTCTTTTTTTATCTTTGATAAGCATGTACGCTGTCAGCGCATTAGTAATCCTAGTGATACGCTAAATGAAAACCAACTACTACATTACAAATATACAATTAAAGTGTCTGTCTCATCATCGTCATCATTACAGCCCTTCACAAGTCCACTGCTGAACATAGGTCTCCCCCAAGGTATGCCACAAAGCACAATCCTGAGCCACCTGCATCCATCGACTCCCTCACTTCCTTCATGCCTTACCAGGTTGTCACTCCATCTAGTTGGGGGTCGACCTACACTTCGTCTACCGGTACGAGGCTGCCACTCTAGGACCTTTTTTCTCCATCGGTTGTCGGTTCTTCGAGCTATATGACCGGCCCATTGTTACTTCAGCTTACTAATCCGTTGGGCTATGTCGGTCACTCTGGTTCTACTGCGGATATCCCACCATTTCTAAGTTTCTCATGTCTGTGTATAATATAGAAATAACTGGGTTCTTTTAAACACAAGAGTTATCAGCATGCTGTAAAGACAGGAATCTTCATTTATAAAATTTTGTCTGTCTGTCTAACTGTCTGCCTGTGTGGAACTGAAATGGCTGAACCGATTGCAATGAAACTTCACGAACAGATAGAGAGCAATTCCGGGATTGATCTAGGCTAGATCTATCTAGGCTTTTTCCGGAAAGTAGTAGATAAAATAAATGATCTTTGATGATTTGATGGTAATCTAATTGACGCCACATTAACAGATTCCACCCAGGTGAAGCCAGGGTTATAAATAATATAATAAACATTGCGGCCGATAGTGATATAGGTAAGTTTTGGCTGCGAGGCCGCGACTTTAATTATCACACGGAGCAAATGTTGGTATGGCGTACAAATTATTGTTCCTGGTCTAGATTTTTATCGAAATGCAATTTATATGTGAAACAACCCCACGGTACAGGATACATTCCTATTGTGGAGGAAACGTCTTTTTAAATTTTCAATGGGTCAAGAATAGAGTGGAGCTGCCGAAGATTGCACTCCTAATTAAAGGAATATTTTATGTACTTAGTGTCTACCCTTCGCAGAAGGCAACCATTTTTCCTTAGATTACCATGATACAAAAGATCGAAGGATCTTTTCGGATCGAAGGAAGAGAACCTTTGAGTAAAAGGATTGGTATAAAAGAAAAGAAGAAGTTCTTTTCTTTTATACTAATCCTTTTACTCAAAGGTTCTCTTTATAACATTTTACAACACCCAATTGAAGAAATCGTACGCTGAACCTATTTGATAACTAAATAAATCACACACTTTCAAACACATCTATTTCAAAGAGTATTAATAGAAGATCATCATCATCATCATCATTACAGCCCTTCACAAGTCCACTGCTGAACATAGGCCTCCCCCAAGTAATGCCACAAAGCACGGTCCTGAGCCACCTGCATCCATCGACTTCCTGCATGTCTTACCAGGTCGTCACTCCATCTAGTGGGGGGTCGCCCTACACTACGCCTACCGGTACGAGGCTGCCACTCGAGAACCTTTCTTCCCCATCGGTTATCGGTTCTTCGAGCTATATGGCCGGCCCATTGCCACTTCAGCTTACTAATCCGTTGGGCTATGTCGGTCACTCTGGTTTTACTGCGGATATCCTCATTTCTGAGTCTATCACGCAGAGAAACTCCGAGCATAGCCCTCTCCATAGCTCGCTGAGCGACCTTAAGCGTCCTCAAACGGCCAGCGGTGAAGGACCACGTCTCAGGTCCGTAAGTCATCACTGGCAACACGCACTGGTTGTACAATCTAGTTTTTAGAGATTGAGGTATACCTGACGAAAAGATATGCCGTAATTTCCCGACCGCTGCCCAGCCGAGTTGAATCCGTCGATTGACCTCTCGGTCGAAGTTGGACATACCTAGTCGGACTATTTGTCCCAGGTAAACGTATTCGTCAACAACTTCGAGCATAGTGCTCCCAACAACTACCGGCATAGGTGTGACATGGACATTGAACATGATCTTTGTTTTGTCCATGTTCATCTTAAGACCTATCCGTTGGGAGGCACTATTGAGGTCATTGAGCATAGTGCTTAAGTCCTCCAGCGATTCTGCCATAAGGACTATATCGTCGGCAAATCGAAGGTGAGTGATGTACTCGCCATTGATGTCAATACCGTATCCTTTCCAGTCCAGTAGCTTGAAAACGTCTTCCAATGCAGCGGTGAAGAGTTTCGGGGATATAACGTCACCCTGTCTTACACCTCTCTGCAGTTGGATAGGTTTCGAGCTCTGGTTCTGTACTCGGATAGCCATCGTAGCCCTACTGTACAAACACTTCAGCACTTCGATATACCGACAGTCAACTTGGCACCGCTGAAGGGACTGTAGCACCGCCCAAATTTCGACGGAATCAAAGGCTTTCTCATAGTCCACATACGCCAGGCAAAGTGGCAGATTGTACTCTTCAGTCTTCTGTACAATCTGCCGCAGGGTATGTATGTGGTCTATGGTACTGAAGCCTTTTCGGAAACCGGCTTGTTCGGGAGGCTGGAAGTCGTCAAGTCTGCGTGCGAGACGATTCGTAATGACTCTCGAAAACAGCACGTAGACGCGGCTCAGAAGGGAAATCGGTCTGTAGTTCTTTAAGAGAGCGTTGTCGCCTTTCTTAAAGAACAAGACCACCGCACTTCTGCTCCACGCCTCTGGAGTAGTGCCACCATGGAGGACGGAATTGAAGAGCTTCTGAAGGACTTCAAGTACCGGTGTTCCACCCGCTTTCAGAAGCTCCGCTGTAATTCTATCCTCGCCTGGGGCCCTGCCGTTTTTAAGGTGCTGGAGAGCCATTCTAATCTCGCTTAGACTGACGTCCGGGATATCATCGGAATAGTGTCGGATAAGACTTGCTCTTGGATCGTTACTCACACTTGCGTGTGGCTCCAACGATGATGTGTACAGCTGCCCATAGAACCTCTCAATCTCACTCAAAATCTCAGGTGTCCCGGAAACGATGTTGCCACACTCAGTCTTCAGCCTTGACAGTTGGCTCTTTCTGGCAGACAGATCTCTGGCAAAGACTTTGGAGCCCTGGTTCCGCTCGATCGCTTCTTTAATTCGAGAAGTATTAAAGTTGCGTAAGTCTCGCCGTATGCATTTGGAGATCTGTCTGTTCAGTTGCCTGTATGCTGTCAAATCTGTTGACGATTGCAGCCTCATCTCCCGTCTAACAGCCATGAGATTAAGAGTGTGATCGGAGAGTTTTTGTGTTCTTCTGCGGCGGGTCTTACAGAACTTAGCTCCGACCGCATGGACAGTTTCCACGAGCTTGTCATTCATATTAATAGAAGAAACGGTTGTTAATATTAAAGAGAAAATAAAATAAAAAATAAATACATTTGTAGGTAATATAATAAATGAATATTTAAGTAATCAATAATCTTTTTCGAATATGATATTCTACCGAGAATTTGAAATATTTTATATAATTATTGTAATAATAATAAGTTCAATCTTTAATAATTGGTTTATTTATCTTCTTAAATAATATTTGCAATGTCTGTAAAAGATGATAAGTTTCATTTGTGATATATGTATATTAAGACCTTATTGTACATATACTAAGCTTAACTAATATAAACTTTCCAACTTGTCGACTTCTGTTTAGTTAAATATTTTAATCGGGCTGTCTTTTGTCACGCGGAAACAATAAAAAATGGTATTTTTAAACCATCTTATTTTAGTATTCTATACGGTTAGAGATGCCGACATTTTGGTGCATACTGGAACTTCCTTTGGTAAAATTTATGTATATATCCATTTTAAATACGTTACACGTACAGTAATTCGATGTTCATATCATAATAATATGTAAATAGAAACATGCCTTAAATACGAATAATTCACTAATCCCAAACAATTTACTATACATATATACAAGATGGTTAGGTTTGCTGCCTAAGACTCCATTTGGGTGTGTACCTATCACACTTAGGAGACTTGTCCTTTTACGTATCCGTCCCGACAAACAATAGAGCATCTACTGTTGTTCTCCCGCCTGATGTTTAAGGCACAGTATCATTACGGTTATTTTACTTTAGTACTCAGTGACAGGACTCCTTTTCAGCCTTGGGTTCCATCTGGGTAGGTTTCTTGTTTTTTCCATATTAACATGCTTTACGGCTCTGGGTTCTAACCCTTCTGAGTCATGAGATAAGTAAAATTATCTCTGACGCCACAGAGCCGTAATTGCAGTGTGGAATTTCCATCTAAAGCGTATAGAGAGTTTAGATCCATAGATACTCGTAAATACAGGCCGTGAGTCATCACTTTTTTGGCTTTGGAAGAGATACCATAGACTATACTTCTTTGTTTGAATACAGTTGCAGTTATCCATGGGTCGTAGTAGCCATACCATCAGTTAGATTGTAAATTCGTTTATCACATCAATTTTACATAAAAATATTTTGATAGTGTTGTCACATCTGCAATCTTCTTTCTTTGAATTAAGTTACAGACGTTTATGAACCAAAGTCAAGTACAGTAAGTAGCCAATTGCAACATATCTGGACAGGTAATTCGTTAGTTACTCTATGGTATTAAAAAAATCCGTAATAATACAATATTTTCTACTGACATTGTAAATTTTTGAAGATCGTGTGGTTAGAGACGTTCTAGTTACCTTTACACATAGATTTATTGTAAACTGACGTTAGAAATACTTTTAGACTAAACCACTACCGCGTAAAGAATCTTCATTTAAATAGTAGTTATAAACCGTGTACATGCCTCTGTTGACTGTTGACTGCCTCGTTGGTCTAGTGGTTGTAGTAGTGCGTCTACTGATCATGAGGTCCTGGATTCGAATATCTATGGTTAAAGAACATTGATTTCTCATTAAAGAATTACAAATTCAATTACAAAGAAGCTTAACCAACTCGAACATAAGAAATTGAATAAGCACAACAATCGATACTTACTAGTTATCAAAATTGATATAATTTAACTAATATAAAGTTACGTGGTTGAACCACACTGGTATGGTTGTAGCGCAAATCGGTCGGCACGATCGGGGTGGACCACGCTCTCACAGAATACCAGCGTAAAATAGCAGCTTAATGGTGCTGTGTTCCGTATAGTGAGTGTAGAGAACCGGAGACTCTTTTTACTGGAATCGAGGCATTCCATCTTGGTCCTCAGGGGTAACAACTCATCTGCGTTTTGATTGTTAATCGAAGATAAATGTAGATGTCTATGGGCCACAGCATCCACTTACCATGAGGTGGACTGTGTGCACGTTTGTTACCATTATTCTATAAAAAATAATCTAGATAAACTAATAAAGTGATAAGAGACTGGGGTGTTCTACGGATCGGTGCGATATCTTCATTACGGATTAAAATTTGGAAAAGACCCAAAGCATACAGAAACACTAAAACAATTTAACACTTTTGGTTCTAATATGGTTACGGTGTTATATTTTTCAGGGTGCACTCAGGATAACAGAAGACGGATGTGGCGGAGTAAGGGTCGTTGGAGCATCTATGCGAGCAGTGAGAGGCGTCCACGATGCACTAGGAGCATTGCACGCTGGCGCACTCGCTAGAACCACCGCCGCTACCAACATGAACTCATCCTCTTCTCGATCTCATGCGGTATTCACTTTGCTACTGCGCCAGAGGCGACTGGCTACCGACCAGGACACAGTGGATCGAGACGCGGAGGCGGACACACCTGAACAGTACGAAACACTAACCGCGAAGTTCCACTTCGTTGATCTGGCTGGCTCTGAGCGTCTCAAGCGAACAGGTAAAGTCAAAGTGTAATTTTTTGCGTTAGTATTGAATGAGCAGGAAAGGAGGTCAAACGAGCACACAGTCCACCTGATGGTAAGTGGTTGCTGTGGCCCGTTGACATTTACATCTATCCTTGATTACGAATCAAAATGCAGATGCGTTGTCACCCGTGAGGACTAAGATGGTATGCCTCGTTTTCAGTATAAGGGGTCTCTAAATGAAGAAGTACGTTTGAAATAGAAGAGAATTGTATCTTAGTATCTGAACCGTTTATTTTATGTTACAGATCAACTTAGATTCTAAAAAATAAAAACTATAAACATAATTCGCTGTTGCGTGTAGTGAAAGTAGATAACTGGAAACCCTTTTTACTGGTTACGGGGCGTTCTATCTTAGCTCTTGGGGGTGACAACGCATCTTCATTCTGGTTCTTAATAGAGGAGAAATATAGATGTCTATGAATTGCATCGATGTCGTTCCATCAGGTATAGTGTGCTCGTTTATTATTCTATAAAAAAATCATAAGAACACTCACTTTATGTTGGCAGAATGATGCGGCTTAAGTTGAAACTTTATATTATATTAAAAATAATGTTGATCTCTTCTTCATTTTGAACGTTAAGATTTACAACTTTAAAAAATCTGATGTGCTATCCATTGCATTATTTTACGTTTCCTTAATAATATATTAATGTGTTCCAATACGCGTGATAAACGACTGCTCAAACGTTTCTCTTTTCAGTTTCTCTTTAGATTTGTTCGAACAAACGACTATGCTTGTGTTAGGCGAAAGATATATAGCTTCCTGCTAATTTCTCTTACAAAACATAAAACATAGATCATTAAAAACCCTGATGGAGTAACAATGACATTATTTTTGCTATTGTATTTTTAATGCATTCAAAGGAGACGGGGATTTCTGGGCCTCAGTTTGTAATAAGTTGAAACATGGTTTAAAAAAAGATTTATATTTTCTTATTTCTAAATATGAAAAAAATATCCCAATTTACAATATGGAAGATGAGAAATCTTAAAAATAAGTTTATGTCATGAATAAAGTGTCATGTAAATCGATTAGCTAATTTAATCAATTTACTTGAAGGAGTTTTAACAATTAAACATGAAAACTTAAACCAAATGATTGATTCAATCAAAGTAATTATATACATTAAAATTTAAATAGTGTCAACAGTTTAAAAAATAAAATATCAACATAATAAAAATAAATCTTTAAATCGATTCTCATTTACAGTCCGATTTATTACTTGTGTTTATCAAGTGTATATATATATGTACATATATCTGTGCTGTCAGTGACAGCTCCTGCCTAACTCAATCTATGTCTATATTCTATATGATCAATTGCCACGTATCGTTTAGTACGTGTGTGTTTTGAGTGTGTTTTCCGTTGATTTATTGATTTACACTTTCCGAACTCTGCTTTCTTTCTACGGTCTTATGATCTTACTTAATTTGTACGACCCTTGCTATCATACCGGACACCGATAATCTCGTTTACTCGTTCGACTTTGGCTTGTTATTATGGATTTAACTTTTATTGCCTGTATTTTATCGATGGGATATTAACTCAATGGATCGCTATGTAAATTGTGGCATACCGACTAGTTGCTGTAATCTAATGTAACGTAATGTCTATAATATTGTAACTTAGTTGGGCTAGGTACCTAGATAATTTAGTAGGTACTACTTGCGGAATTCTTGGATGATATTTTAATTATATTTGAAGACGAATAAAAGATAATTTAAAAGTGTTTGTTCAAACAACTTCTAAACTTCTCTACTACAAAGTTTCCCATTCTCCTCCCACTGAATACAATACAATGCAATAAATATTACAATTAATACAGTAAAAACTATCTAATAAAACAAAATAGCAATCGCGCTTCAAAAATCAGCCGTTTAGTATAGGTTGTTGCCAATTTGTTGCATAACCTCACTTTTACTAAATCTCTTATAAATCTGCTCTCAAATTGCCAAATTCCGAAGAATTTTCAGTAATGTTTTGATAATATATATAAGCTATTGATTGACATTACTTTCATCTTTTTACAACCTGGGCCCAAGAATGTATGAAAGCGTATCAGTCTCCTTTGTATACATTCAAATAATTTGTGCTCGTAGTAGGGAGGTACCTAAATACATTACCCCATTTTATCTCGTGGTAGTAATAAACTACAATCCCACCGAGTGGTGTATCATAAATAGTCACCTTGACTTTAACCCATGAAGATTAGAGAACAGGAGAACGATCACTACGTACTAAAGCATAGCCCGCCTGTCCTTGAAAATTATTGAATTCATAGCGGCGCTGACGTCAGTGAGTAGTGACTGCGAAGTTAGCTGTTTATGAGTACAAGTAGATGAAGTTAGTTGAATAATGTACAAATTTTCATTTAATTGTTAAAATGAGAAAATTTTCATTCTCCGTAATTTTGTAATTTTTGACAAAAATACACATTAAAAAATGGAGAAATATTTTATTGTGCGTGGATGTGCAAGTGGTTTAGCATCTGATTGGAAAAATAGACTGTAAATTACTTTTATTGACCGAACTTAGCGATCGCAGCGCCTCACTCATGGTGTCCATATTTCTGAGACACTATTTCCTATGGCGATCGTTCTCCTGTTCTCTCTAACCTTCATGCTGTAATGTAAAACTCTTAAAATTGCTCTAAAACCTTATCAGAAGCAAGACTGAGAGCTTTATGGACTGTCAAACCTAGCTGTGGGCGGTATATTAGGCTGTATCTATAGTTTTTTAATGTGCAACTATACATATAACTTTGTATATAAAACTATAATTTCCTTAAATGTTGCAGGTGCGACAGGCGAACGAGCTCGTGAAGGTATATCGATCAACTGCGGGCTCTTAGCGCTGGGAAATGTGATATCGGCATTAGGAGACAAGTCCAGGAAAGTGCTCCATGTTCCGTACCGGGACTCCAAGCTCACCAGACTGTTACAAGATTCTCTCGGAGGTAACTCACTATCGTTTTATATGTTGACAAATTTTTGAATTTTTTGTTTGTTTACTAGTCAGAGCTACTATTTTATATTTTATATTAATTGTATTTGTTTTGATCCTTGGACTTGGCTTCTCAAACTTGAATTTGACGTAATAATTTTCCATCCAAAATGGACCATGACGAGAAATTCCAAATTAATTTGAAAACAGCTAACTACGCCACAGTATAAGATTTGAAGCATGTACTATAAATCTTTGTATAAAAATTTCTTCAGTATCTTGAAATGCACAAGGTCGAATATTCGGACTTGAAACAATTATTTGTAGGCCATACCCATTCTTGTTCAAACTCATTTACATCCATATGTGCAATGCGATGTCCAATGCTTAACGTCAGCGCAATAAATATGCCTCGAATGCTCAATACTCACTCTCGATGCTGAATACTCAGTCTCTCACACGTTGGGATTAGTACCCTTGGAGTCTGTTATCAAGTGCCTGTAAGTAATGTAGGCGTGAACAGTGTATTTTAGTCAAATGATAATTATCAACCTATTTAAAATTCATCATATATTTTTTTTAATATAATTTATTATAATACGCGATGTACATACACATCAAGTAAAAATAATTTTACGTTTCGAGTGATGTACAGTATCCGTGGTTAGAAGGGATTGCGATGTTCAACATTCAGTTTTAAATTCAAACCTATGTAAAAGCTCGTCGTGCGTAGATTGTATTTTGTTTACTTATTGTAAACCGGTGATACTTTACCTGGTGATAAGTGGTGATGTCGCCCTAAATGGTAAATTGCACCATCTTAGCATAACAAAAGTCTATTCACTCTTGCCTTGAAGATGCCCAGATTGTATTCGAGTGGAAAGATAGACGCCGGCAAGTTATTCCACTCCCTAGCTGTACGCATTACAAAAGAAGGAGCAAACAGTTTGGTTCTAATACGAGGAATATCTATAGGAATAAAGGGCGAAGACCCGCCGACCGCCTGGTTTTACGATGGCGGAAATGAAAGGAAGGAATAAAATCATGTAATTAATTCACCGAAATGCATCCTATAGAATACCGAGAGGCTGGCTATCTGCGCCTGTGCTCGAGGCTGACAAATTTCAACCAAATCAGAGGTTACCAGTGAGTTTCTTAGTACGTCTCTCCACTGAGTTCAACGCTGCTAGATGGCATTTTGCAGCACCAGCCCATATGTGACACCAGTACTCCATGCAATACCAGACTTGCGCTTTGTATAAGGTACAAAACTGCCCCTTCGTGAAGTACCGCCGCACCCTTGCAAGGACACCTACTTTTCTTGTGGTTGCTTTGGCCCTGGACTCTTTTTTTTTTTTTTGGAAATAATATTAATATTTAAAAGCTGAAGGCAGCTCGCGTCCAGCAAAATTAAACGTACCTAAGTTTTGTTCAGCAAAAATCTTTGTTTTCATTCAGGCAACAGCAACACGGTAATGATTGCGTGCGTGTCGCCCAGCGACCGCGACTTCATGGAGACGCTGAACACGTTGAAATACGCGAATCGGGCTCGTAACATCAAGAACCGGTGCGTGGTGAACCAGGATCTCACGTCCAGGACCATCAACCAACTAAGACACGAGGTCGCCAGGTTGCAGCTGGAGTTGGCCGAATACAAACAGGTATCTAAATAATATCTTCTCGTCTGCATGCATTTTTATCTGCGTAAATTAAATTTTTCTGTGTTAGTCTAGAACTATCTATCATGTTTTTGGGCGTTGTAAGAGTGGATTTTAAGGAATGCAAGGAAGTTCACGTGGTAGTATATAGCATTATATATATGACTGCCTCGTAGGTCTAGTGGTTGTAGTAATGCGACTGCTGATGATAAGGTCCTGGGTTCAAATCCGTCGGACCTGGGTCGGTCCAAAAAATCTATTATTGAGTTTTTCCGTCAAGAAATTCTCAGTAGCTGCCCGGAGTCAGGAAGTTGGCGGTGTCTCACCCCCGTGCCTCGGAAAGCACGTAAAGCCGTTTGTCCTGCGCCTGATCTCTCTCCGGTCGTGTCGGTTTACCGTCCCATCGGATTATGAGAGTGAGGGAATACACTTGGGCACTATAATCCTGTCCTGCGCCGATGGCTAGCCTCCGTTGAGGCTGGCCGCCGTGACCGAAATTCGTTCGGAGGACATTATATGGCATTATATACAATTTTGTATGCCAAATGCAAAAAAAATGTAAACCAGCTAAGAAGAGTAGTATCAAAAATGTGAGACATATAAGATTTAAAATCAACCCTCCAGCCGTCACATCAAAATTTAAGAAAACTTAAACTTAGACCGGCAAGCGCTGCTTAACATATTTGTAAACAAAATATTTTTTTTATCCTCCAGGGTAAACGCGTCGTATCCGAAAATGGCGAAGAGGGATGGAGCGACGTGGTACAAGAGAACGCGATCCTGACCAGCGAGGTTGAATCACTGCGGCGGCGTGTGAAGGCCATGCAGGACACCATCGAGCAGTTGTCGGCGCGCAACAGCGAGCTGCTGGCAGAGAAGGCGCTGGCCACGTGGGCGCCGCGCGACTCCAGCCCCGACGCCACGGACTGCTCACTCACCACGCTCGTACAGGTTGCTCTCACTCACATATACATATCAGTACTTACACGTACTCAATCGTTCACGCACTTACACGTACACGCACTCACACGTGCATGGAGTTAGACGTAAATGTACACGCACTAACATGTGTGCGCATTACGTGTTCACCCACGCAAACGAACACACACATACATGTACATGTATTTATATGCACATAATATATTTTTATGAACGCACTGAAGCTTTTGCGCATACACGCCTTACTTAATAAGCGTATCCGTGTACTTCATGAAACTTAATAAGCGTACTAAAAATGGAACGAAATAAAGACCCTCGAATTTTCAAAACAGTCTATAATATCTCTTACCCTTTAAATTCACCACTATAACGGATAAAATATCCAAATAATCTGCAGGGGTACGTGAGCGAGATAGAAGATCTGCGTGCACAACTTATGGAAGCAAATGCACTATATGAAGCCAGTCGGAAGCGAGAAGCACGCACGCGCCACGAATCTGTGCACGACCCAACTTCAATACTCGACGACGCTAAACGAGAATTGTACAAGGTAATGTTTTTGTTGTAATTGTGATTTTTTTTTTATCTTTAACCCGCAAGACTTGTGTTAATCGTGACGTTTAGCAGGCGGATTTACGATCGCAGTACCAGTCGCTACTATCCGTCGCCGGTCTGTGTGTTTTATGTTAGATGTAAAAGAGATGATTATACCGCTATTAATTGGAAGCCAGAAGTTTTTTTTGCAAGATTACTTTTTATTAATCTTATACTTTATCGGTGCAACATCCATATGTGACGGACCTATGGCGTAGAATATATGAGTAGCAGTTTGTATATACGCTACGATCTATCATTTACCTATTGTACATCAGAAAAAGAATCACTTCAATTTTGGGACGATCATCTGATCTAGCTTAAATGTTTGTCAGTTTTTTTGCACACACAATTCGATTTATTTGTGCAGTTTTATCTGAAACGATAGATGGTAACGATTTTAGCTACGCATATGGCCGCCTCAAAGGCTAATAAGGAAGTGTATGCTTCAGGAGAAGGAGCTCTTGGCGCGCAGCATGGGCGAGCTAGAGTTCCAGCGCAAGCTCTCGACGCAAGTTAGCGAGGGTGGGGAGGGCGGTGAGGCGGAGGGTGAAGTCGAGGAGGATGCGCGACCCATCGGCGAACGCGAGCGCGCGGAGGGCGAGAGTGCCGGCGCCTCCGAGCCCTCCGACCATGACGATGACGAGGTCTCCGATGACGAGCGCAACGAAGCGATCGAAGCAGAGACCGCTGGTATGTTTTTTTTATGCGTATCCTTGACTAATCTTATTTATAATTTCAAGACGACAACTTTTAAATACTGCGAGTAGTTATATGCTCAAAACATATTACAGGATCAACATATATTCGCCCAACTCCAACAGAGTCGCATTATTTAATTAAACCAATGTAAGGCATATGGACGCCGTGTTGTAGCGGCGTCATAATATCCACTACCTCATATCGTACCCTCGGTGTCTCCTGTGTTTCATATAACAAGTGCAGAGAACCAGGGTCCCGTTTTTCTGGTAAGGAGGTATTGTATCTTAGTCCTCAGGGATGACAACGAATCTAAATATTTATTCTTAATCGAGGATGGATATAGTCTATGCCCCGCAGTATCCACTTAGCATCAGGGGGACTGTGTCCTCGTTTGTCACCCTTATTTGCAGTTGCGTTCAGGGTTACGATGAGATCCAACAATAAATAGTAAAACAAAATCTATAAAATGAACTTCAACCGTGTATAATTATTAATGTCTTAAGTATGCACAGTAATATAGTAACAGGATCTCACTTCGTATTTATTATTAATTTGACATAAATACTCACTGGCGAAGGTCAATAAGGTCGAGAAACTATGCCTACAACCTCGATAAAGCCAAAACTTTCCAGTTTTTGTCAATCAGCATCGGTTCTAATGAAAACTTTATTTGGAATAATTTATGCAGGTATTCCTTAAGAAATGTAAACAACTTCTTCCACTTAAATTATTTCTATTGCATTGTGTATTTGGCTATAAATTTATAACAATGAAATTATGTTTTTGTTTACAAAAAAGGTCATGCTTATGTATCACGTTTTAAAAACGTAACAATTTTCATTATATTGAATATCCGAAAATATCGATCCTTCAATGCCACTTCTAAATGGATATTATATTTATAATTTTATTATATTTTATATATATATATATATATATATATATATATATATATATATATATATATATATATATATAATGTCGGTACCTAAACCATTGCACGTGCGCCTCTGTGGCTAGTCGAAGTTATTGTAAACAACACGTACACCGCAAACCTGCGCATTACACCTGCAGTGGCGCTCGGGTAGCTACTTGTCTCGATTGTATAAAACGGACGGAGCGGCCGCCGTTAAGCCTGCACCCTCCTTTCTGCCAAGGAGGGTGGCGTTCGTATACGGCTTAGAGATCTCTCGTCAGATCGGTAAGCAAATCCATAAAGGCGGTGTTTAGTGGGTAAAAGTCTCCACATAACCACGCAGCCGGCTGCGTGGTATACTACGAGCATTCACCGCCTCCCTCCCCCGCGTTCTGTAGGGTTGCCCATATTTGATTCGGGCGCAAAAAAAAGCCGTTAAGGCAATCTTGGCGCTGGCGTGGCACGTTGCACATGTTGTATCTCGCTACTAGCTCATCCTCGACTATTCGGATAATTATTATTCTCAGCTATTAAATTATTAGTCTCAGGACAATTTATAGTTGATCCGTGTATTTTGTGATTGTAAATTAATTCTATTTAACTACCTTCCTACATATATATAGTACCTAGGTAACCGAGCTTTCCTCGGTATTTTTTTGGAAATCGTGTGTTTTGGAAATTATATTTAGATACAAATTACATACTGATGAAACATGAATAATATTTTTTGATCTTATTGACATAATAGAAAAAACTGAACTGGTTATTTGAATAAAAAATCATGAGTCCAATTAGTTTAACTTAAATTTTCGTGTTTTAAAAAATACTATAAAAAGGGCTCGAAATAATAGATTTTCTCACAAAAGAAGGGAACTTGAAAAAAGTTGGACCGAAGACAGGACACGAACCAGGGCACCTTGACTTCGCGACCGCCGTCATGAGCTATTACGGTCATTATTACACTGCCAAGATTTACCTTTTTATATTGTAGCAGTTTTCATTGCCTAAAAACACGGACAAAACGACATTTTCTAAAAATGAATCTTAGCTAGATTGATTTATTATCCCCGAAACCCCCTGAACACTAAATTTTATGAAAATCATTGGAGCCGTTTCAGAGATTGCGATTATATATATATATATATATATATATATATATATATATATATATATATATATATATATATATATATATAATAAAAACTGCGGTTGCCAACCCGCTCGCCAATCGTGGCAACTATGGCAATATACCCCCCCATGAACAATTACACAAATAGACGGCCCCCAGTCCCCGGCGGCCCCGCTATTCCTGTCTACGGTGGCGACCATGGTAACGGCGGGGCAGGGGGTGCTAAGAATCTCCGGTGGAGGTTCGGTTGCCACCTACGATGACTCGACCTGGCAAGATTTAACGCACGCACCCTGAGGACTGACGAGAAGATCCTGGAGCTGGAAGAAGAGATAGATAAGTTGCGCTGGAATATTATAGGATTATCCGAGGTCCGAAGAGAGGAGGAGCACACGGTGATTCTCGAATCCGGCAACTTGTTCTATCACCGGGAGGGCGACCATCTGTCCCAAGGAGGTGTCGGATTTATCGTCCACAAGTCTCTCGTCAACAACGTTGTAAAGAGGGAGTGTGTCGACGAGGGTCGCGTACCTGATACTCAGAATCACCAAACGGTATTCGCTGAAGGTCATACAGGTTTACGCACCAACCTCGGCACATCCCGATGAGGAGGTGAAGGAAATGTATGAGGATATTTCCAAAGCCATGCATTCCTTTAAAACCCACTACACGGTGTTGATGGGAGACTTCAACGCAAAACTAGGCACAAGAGAAAACGGTGAGCTGAAGTTAGGGACATTTGGAGTAGGGAAACGGAACCGAAGGGGCCAGCAGCTCGCCGACTTTATGGAGAAAGAGGGACTCTTTATGATGAACTCTTTCTTCCAGAAGCGGCCCCACAGGAAGTGGACCTGGTCGAGCCCCGACGGTTCGACAAAAATGAGATTGACTTTCATTATGACGACCAGACGCCAACTGTTCAGTGATATCTCAGTGATCGCAAAGGTGAAAACTGGCAGCGATCACCGAATGGTTAGAGGCACACTGAACCTAAACGTTAAGTTGGAGAGGTCTCGTCTAATGAAGTCAACGCTCCGTCCCCCTCGTGCTCTAATCCAGAATCCCGAAAACTTTCAGCTCGAGTTACGTAACCGCTTTCAGTGCCTACAAGATTGCAATTCAGTGGACGATATGAATGACAAGGTCGTGGAAACTGTCCATGCGGTCGGAGCTAAGTTCTGCAAGACCTGCCGCAGAAGAACACAAAAACTCTCCGATCACACTCTTAATCTCATGACTGTTAGACGGGAGATGAGGCTGCAATCGTCAACAGATTTGACAGCATACAGGCAACTGAACAGACAGATCTCCAAATGCATGCGGCGAGACTTACGCAACTTTAATACTGCTCGTATTAAAGAAGCGATCGAGCGGAACCAGGGCTCCAAGGTCTTTGCCAGAGATCTGTCTGCTAGTAAGAGCCAACTGTGAGCCAAAGCTGAAGACGAGTGTGGCAGCATCGTTTCCGGGACACCTGAGATTTTGAGTGAGATTGAGAGGTTCTATGGGCAGCTGTACACATCATCGTTGGAGCTACACGCAAGTGTGAGTAACGATCCAAGAGCAAGTCTTATCCGACACTATTCCGATGTTATCCCGGACGTCAGTCTAAGCGAGATTAGAATGGCTCTCCAGCACCTTAAAAACGGCAGGGCCCCAGGCGAGGATGGAATTACAGCGGAGCTTCTGAAAGCGGGTGAAACACCGGTACTCGAAGTCCTTCAGAAGCTCTTCAATTCCGTCCTCCATGGTGGCACTACTCCAGAGGCGTGGAGAAGTGCGGTGGTCTTGTTCTTTAAGAAAGGCGACAACGCTCTCTTGAAGAACTACAGACCGATTTCCCTTCTGAGCCGCGTCTACGTGCTGTTTTCGAGAGTCATTACGAATCGTCTCGCACGCAGACTCGACGACTTCCAGCCCCCCGAATAAGCCGGTTTCCGAAAAGGCTTCAGTACCATAGACCAGATACATCCCTGCGGCAGATTGTACAGAATACTGAAGAGTACAATCTGCCACTTGCCTGGCGTATGTGGAATATGAGAAAGCCTTTGATTCCGTCGAAATTTGGGCGGTGCTACAGTCCCTTCAGCGGTGCCAAGTTGACTGTCGGTATATCGAAGTGCTGAAGTGTTTGTACAGTAGGGCTACGATGGCTATCCGAGTACAGAACCAGAGCTCGAAACCTATCCAACTGCAGGGAGGTGTAAGACAGGGTGACGTTATATCCCCGAAACTCTTCACCGCTGCATTGGAAGACGTTTTCAAGCTACTGGACTGGAAAGGGTATTGTATTAACATCAGTGGCGAGTATATCACTCACCTTCAATTTGCCGACGATATAGTCCTTGTAGCAGAATCGCTGGAGGACTTAAGCACTATGCTCAATGACCTCAATAGTGCCTCCCAACGGATAGGTCTTAAGATAAACATGGACAAAACAAAGATCATATTTAATGTCCATGTCACACCTATGCCGGTAGTTGTTGGGAGCACTATGCTCGAAGTTGTTGACGAGTACGTTTACCTGGGACAAATAGTCCGACTTGGTAAGTCCAACTTCGACCGAGAGGTCAATTAACGGATTCAACTCGGCTGGGCAGCGTTCGGGAAATTACGACATATCTTCTCGTCAGGTGTACCTCAATTTCTAAAAACTAGATTGTACAACCAGTGCGTGTTGCCAGTGATGACTTACGGATCTGAGACGTGGTCCTTTACTGCTGGCCGTATGAGGACGCTCAAGGTCGCTCAGCGAGCTATGGAAAGGGCTATGCTCGGAGTTTCTCTGTGTGATAGACTCAGAAATGACGATATCCGCAGTAAAACCAGAGTGACCGACATAGCCCAACGGATTAGTAAGCTGAAGTGGCAATGGGCCGGCCATATAGCTCGAAGAACCGATAACCGATGGGGAAGAAAGGTTCTCGAGTCGGGTCAGCCTCGTACCGGTAGGCGTAGTGTAGGGCGACCCCCACTAGATGGAGTGACGACCTGGTAAGATACGCAGGAAGTCGATGGATGCAGGTGGCTCAGGACCGTGGCATTACTTGGGGGAGGCCTATGTTCAGCAGTGGACTTGTGACGGGCTGTAATAATGATGATGATGATGATTTTATTATATACATATAATAAAAAAATCAGATCGTACAGTAATTACAAGTACAAACTAACTAGTATTTTATCAAGACTTATTTTATTTTGACGTTGGTATTCTATGTGAAAAGGGCTTCTCGCCAGTTAGGCTGCATTCATGCTGCAACAACAATGTGCAAATCAAAATATATTAGCTTAACCTGCTTTATGCGAAATTTTAATTCCGCTTTCTGATTTTGGCAGGTCAACGCATGCTAACAGCCGAGTTGGCAGCGCTGAGCGAAGACATCGACACGAAGGCGCGGCTCATCGAGCAGCTGGAGGCATCGCAGCGGCGGCTGGCTGCCTTGCGCACGCACTACGAGCAGCGTCTTGATACTCTCCACCACCAGATCAAGGCCACCGGGGAAGAACGCGACAAAGTGCTTGCTACCCTCGGTACATTGACTTGATACTTAAATTGAGTAGTGTAGACTTGCAACAATATATTGGAAATAATGATGTAATTAATGAATTCGATATGTTTTCCCTTATACAAGTATTTTAATTATATCAAAAAAAAATCAACGTTAATCGGAGTGACCTGAAAATATTATTAAATTTTATAAACATTTTTAATGTCTATTCATCCTTAAATAATAAATAGTCGTAATGACGAATTATATTATCGATACAATTGATTATCTGTTAATATAATATGTCGAACATTAAAATTTTTGCTTTGATATTACGAAATTTTTATACATAGTAATGTGTTTATACGGACTGTTAAATAATCATACAAAGTTTTGGCAAGAATTTGACAGCCAGTGAATTGCTGTTTCTGTTATCGTTTGAATAACGGTTTAAAGTGGTTTCTTATATTACCGGAAGTAAACGTTAACGTGTCTGAATTGCTATTAGTGGGAATGATGAAACAAATGTTATGATGGTGATGGTAGCCTCTCAAGTTGTTGTCTTCTTTTTCGACTTCAGATATCGACGATCGATGTTTAACTCAGGCTGCCGTCAAAATCTCCTTAAAACATCGCAATATAACCTATCAGCATATTGTAAAGACACTTTCACACTGGATTTATTACTTCTATGTTTGGCATATTGGAGGAACACACACACACATATATACATATACAGAATGGGTCCCACATATATGCAATAAATGAAACCACAAGTAATACTAGTCCGTAGAAGTGTAGAAAAATTAAATATTAAATTAAAACTCGTAAAATAAAAAAAGTGAAATTTTCAAACAAAATAAATATTAAAATAAATTCAGTAAAAGTGAACACTCTGTTTAGACAACGTACCTTGACCCCTTGGAAAAGTGACAACGTTGCACGCGGGTGGCACGCCGACAAAAGACACCGCTGTCGATATGTCGCAATACCAATAGTTTGCACTGCGTGGCAACGTCGCTTTTTAATGTTCAAGGATTCAAGTTCATTGAATCATTGACTTAGTGCCCAATTCTATAGAGTGTTCAAATTTGCTTAAAATCAAAACTCTACTTTTGGACCTAATTACTGGACCGATTACGTTCATTTTTTGTATATCGTCAGCAAAGGCGATAACAAGTATATGGTTTCATTTATTGCATATATGTGGGACCCATTCCGTATATGTGTGTGTGTGTGTGTGTGTGTGTGCGTGCGTGGTCCGTCGTGCGTGCGTGCGTGCGTGTGCGTGCGTGCGTGCGTGCGTGCGTGCGTGTGTGTGTGTGTGTGTGTGTGTAATATATGATACTATCACAACTTGTTCATATTAATCACATATACACTGTGTTGACAGCCGCGCAATCGTCGCCCCCGAGCGAGAAGCTGAAGCGAGTGAAGGAGGAGTACGAGCGGCGGGTGGCGACCATGTCGCGCGAGCTGCGGCGGCTGCAGGCGGCGCAGCGCGAGCACGCTCGGCTGCAGCGCGCGCAGGGACACACGGCGCAGCAGATACAAACGCTGCGTGCCGAGCTGACTAACCTCAAGCGCGACAAGGTGACCCCCTGCACAGATACACGCGCTGCGCGCTGAGCTCACAAACCTCAAGCGCGACAAGGTGACCCTCTGCACAGATATAGACGCTGCGCGCCAGGCAACACAAGCGCGACAAGGTGACCCCCTGCACAGATACACGCGCTGCGCGCTGAGCTCACAAACCTCAAGCGCGACAAGGTGAACCTCTGCACAGATATAGACGCTGCGCGCCAGGCAACACAAGCGCGACAAGGTGACCCCCTGCACAGATACACGCGCTGTGCGTTGAGCTCACAAACCTCAAGCGCGACAAGGTGACCCTCTGCACAGATACACAGTCTGTACGCCTAGCTGACGAATCTGAAGCGTGACAAGGTGACCCCCCGCACAGATACACACGCTGCGCCCGGGGTGACGAACTTCAAGCGCGACAAGGTGACCCCCCGCATGTATATCTATACACGCTGATACTTTGTTCGATGCGAGTCCGACATAACCCGTTCTTGCCTCCATAAGGCGGGTATACGTAAGAAATTTCCCCATGACGTCAGAGAAAGGGACGGAGCTTCTTTTTAAATATTGTTAACCAGTGCTCGATTATATACGTAGTAGAGCCACGCTGCAGCACGAATGGGTCGGCTCGACCGGGGTACGACCACACTCACAGAATACCCGCGTAAAATGACAGCTTAATGCGGTTGTGTTTTGTATGGTGAGTGTAGAGAACCGCAGGTCCTCTTTACGGGAAACAAGGCATTCCATCTTAGTCCTCAGAGGTGACATTTCTACATTTTGATTCTAATAGAGGATAAATGTAAAGGTCTAAAGACTACAGCATCAACTTACTATCAGGTGGATTGTGTGCTCATTTGTCAGCCTTATTGTACAATTTTTTTTAAATAAATGTATTTTTGTTACAGGTCAAACTCGTACAGCGCATGCGGTCGGAAGCTAAACGACATGCTCAAGCAGAGGCAGCTAGAGCCAAGGAGGTAAAGACTGTTTAAATTCAAGTACAATGTTGTTTAAAGCGCGCCAAGAAAAATTTTTTTTGCGGGTTCTTTTCCCCCCCCCTTTTTTTTTTTTTTTTTTTTTTTTGGTTTTTTTTTTTTTTTTTTTTTATTTTTCCCGTTTTGTTCCTTTCCTTTTTTGGGTTTTTTGTTTTTCGACAATATTTACAAAATACAGATTTGTGCTCAACCAACTCATGTATTATTTTTAGGTGGCACAGCTACGTAAGGAATCTCGTAAAAATGCCAATTTAATACGTTCATTGGAAGCAGAAACGAAGTTAAAAGAACAGGTATAAACTCTTGACTTACGAAATGTATTTCCGTAATATATTTCTTAAATATTTTAGATATCTAATCGTTTTTTTATTTATTTACCAGGTATTAAAACGTAAGCAAGAAGAAGTGTCATTGCTAAGGCGAGGCTATAGAGATAAACTAAGCAGCAAAGCGGCGGGTCGACTGCATGGTATAATTCTTTCCCTTTCTTATAATGAATAACATAAAATGTCATGTAGCCCTTACAATCACCTGGCCAATAGATTTGGATGCTTAGCCATTCAGCGCAACTCTGTCATTCGTCTGATTGCTGGTGATTTTAATTAAATAGCAATAACAGTTATGACAATAATTCTTTGGACTATACCCAATAATAAATAATACCCTCGATATGTAGGTCTATCTACTAGTGGTCACCAAGTGGTCAAAATTCAACCGTAAATTTTTAGGTTTCTATGTTAAACAATCTGTATTTCACTTTCAACTGCACATTATTATGTAAAAAAAAGGTATTTAAATATACCTATACAAAATAAAGGCTTTTTACTTTGACATATACTCCACATACTATTGAAACAGAACAGTTGTAATCTTTTTATTCTCAGGCGGCAGTATAAATGTAAATAAGGAATGTTTAATTTAATTTAATGTATCATATCTTATATACATATCATATATACATTTTTGTTTACTCCTTCTCGATATAAACTTTGACTCTGTCTATGTCAAATCTCACACTCCTTTGTGTGTGCAATATGCTTGAGGTTGTGTCTACAAGACTGTGAAGCTAAGAATTTTTCACTTATGACGTGCAATCTTACGTCTGACAGTTTTTTTTATTATACAAATGTAGCTTATGAAGAATATAATTTAATCACATGTTTTTCATAATACCAAAAATTGGTATATAACTTTCGGTAATAAAAAAAGAGAACTTAACCGTTTAAGTTTTTTCTAATTTTAATTACGTTCGATTAAGAATTGAATAGAGCATATGCAATTTCAAGAAGTGGCAAATGTCGAGGGTCAAAATCGTCTTAAAAATACGTTAACCTGTCCTGTGCGAGGTGAGTAAAAATGCCGATTAGGATGAGAAATGGATGTATTTTTCGACGCACGCAACAAGTGTATAAATTACTTCGTCCGAAATCGCTAAGCTTCTTTGGTGAGGTCCGTAATAATCACAGATTTCGTAGGTCGATAGCTTTGTAGTCGTTTCCCGCAGTAGAGTTCACTTTCGCGTTCCCGAAATAATTAACTCTCCGATCGCCGGCACACGCTTTTATACTCGATAAAAGGAATATAGAACTTTCTAGGCCAATCCAGGTCATTCCTCTCTCAACTGGTCATAACTCTTTCAACCGCAAAGTATTAGAACACTCGCGATAGCATTACGATAACAAAGTCTAATGAGAAAGACTTTAACACCATAGACATATGGTTTCTGCCTGTATTAATGTCAGAGCGTTCTATTTGTATTTATTTTATGCTTACAAATTTTATTAGTACCAAGGCCACTGACCCCTATCGTCGAGAACATTCTCGTGCAACGTGACGTAATACGCAACTGAGTGTCATAACAAAATAATGTATGTATGTGCAGAGGGCGGGCGCACACGCACACGCAGTCGCGTGAGCGCGCGCGAGGCCTGGGCGCGGCTGGAGTGCTGGCTGCTGCGGGCGAGCGCGGCGCGCGGCGCGCTGGCCGAGCTGGAGGCGACGCTCGAGCACCAGCTGCGTCGCCGCGACCGCGCCCAGGCGCGCCCGCACCACCCCGACACGCCCGCGCTGCTCTCGCACCTGCGCGAGGCCATCGCCGACACCCAGCACCAGATCATGCAGATCGAGGTTATCATCACTGTTTCTACGTTTTTTGTCACATTCATGTTAAATCTTGTCCACAGTAACGGAGTTGAACTGAGTAACCTTGTAACTAGTTAGTTTTAATTACGTTACATTTAACAGTATCTTATCGGAAAAAATGCACAGTAATCTACAAGGTATGAAAAATTGTGTGATCTTTCTAAATCCATCGTACGAGAGGCGTTCAATATATTCTCGGTATTAGGGTGATTTTTTGCTAATAATGTGGGTAATTTAAAAAAAAACGTTAGCTAGCGACAGTACCTGAAAGTATAAATATCTAATTTCGTCTTGATAACTTCTTTACTTCTTATGTAACATTCAATCATAGACGACTGGAATGACTGACTTAACAATGTTGGAAAAAAAGTCTAATACCGTGCGGCGATTAAATTCCTCACATAACAAGGAAAAAATTAAAATAAACACCCATGAAGAAATGGCGACCGAATAACAACACTCGGCTACTTCAATTTCAACCATACGGAAGTGGTCAAGTGAATTCAAAAGAGGCAAGGAAGCCTCGAAGCTAACCTCCGCCCGGGTGGGCCAATCACAGCGCCTACAGAAGAAAATGTGAAAATTATTGAACAACTTGTATTAAAAAATGCACGAGTAATAAGAACATCAGACCCCCATCCGCCCAGAAGTCGCTCTATCGGCCGGTAAAATCATTGCCACAGGTTTTGGAATTCCAAGGAAATGTAAAACCATCAACGTAGACAAATACTTACTTCACGCCGATTGAGAGAAGCAATAACAAAAAAGAGAATACGAAAGCTGACCAAAGGAGTGCTGTTTCTACATTACATTGCACATGGAGTGACGACCTGGTAAGAGATGTGCTTTGTGGCATTCCTTGGAAAAAGCCTGTGTTCAGCACCGTATTTGTAAAGGGCTGCAATGATGATGACGATGATGATTATACCATATATTGGCGGTGTAAGAATATCTACTAGGGATGGGCCGAATATTCATTTTATATTCGGTATTCGGCATATTCGGCAGCTTTACCGAATATTCGGCTAAACTAAATCACCGAACATTCGTTTAAGTGCTACTCAAGGTGTCCACTGTATTAAAATATACGAATTGAGTAATGCCATTGTCTTTCATAATTTTACTATTGAAAGTATATTTTATTTATGGGTTAAATCTGCTTGTATAGCGTTATGTTTTTAAGGCACTGTAGATTTATTTCCAATTATAGCAAATATAAAGCTTAATAAAATGTTTTGAGAATCAAATAAAAAAACATTACATTTCATTAGTAAATTTCACTTTACAACTTATTATCGTATAATTATCAATTTTCACTAGGAATAACACAACAAAATACTTTTTTCTCACAAAAATAGTCAAAAAATAAGCATGTGCCGGCAATTTGCTCAGTACTAGTTGATGCAATAATATGTCAGGTGCGGCGGGGGAGCAAGGGACGAGGTAACAAGTTTCGACATAAATTGGTTAGGTACCGAGATTATCCTGCCGAATAATGTTCGGCCGAATATTCGTATTCGGTAAAATCCATATTTGGCCCATCTCTAATATCTACTACCCCATATCGTCTTGTGAGTATCGTAACAGGCAACAGAGGAAAATAAACTAGGAGATAGCGGCGATAATCATGGTAGTTATATCTAATACTATTATATATAACTACCTGCCGAGCTTGGCAAGAATGGCAAATGAGACTTTTGAGACAACCTAAGGGGAGGCCTATATTCAGCATTGAACTTTAACAGACTACAATGGATTGTCTTCCATATGAGTTATTACAAATGTAAGACAATCCATTATCTTCTTCTGAACAACATCATCCTCTTTATCACCATCAACCAATATCAAGTAAATTTTGGTCCGGCATATTCAGCGTAGGTAGAATCTAACGCACCGGTTCACACGGCGCGGTTATCGAAGTTACCCGACTACGGGTTTAAGGAAATTAACTACCCACCATACAGCTCAGATCTAGCCGCTAGCGACTACTTTTTGGTCCCAAACTTAAAAAAAGACCTTCGTGGAAAGCGATTTGCTGACGATAATAAAGGCTGGTGTAAATGAGCATTTTTGAGGCCAAGACGAACTTTATTTTTTCAAAGGAATAGAAAAGCTTTTTCACGAACAGGTAAATGTATTGATGTCATGAGAGATTATATGAAAAATAAAAAAATATTTTATATTTTTATCTTTTTTCTAACATACCTATATCGAGAATACATTAAACGACTTTTGTATATGAATAGGCATATGCAACGAAACACACTTAACCCAGTTAATCTTTAATCGTAAATATATTTTTATTCCAAATTAAAAATTAAAAAATACAAAAAATAAATTGTTTGTGAAAATATATGTGCTATAAATTAAGTAAGAAAAATATCTTTCTACGCAATTATTTACATAAATCACATCCAACTAATTAAATATAACAAATCAGGAGGAGAACGAAGACAACGAACTACCTCGTCTACTGGAGCAAGTGCAGACCGCAGAAGCGGGCCGCTACGCACTGGAGAGGTTAATCGCGCTAACGCTGCAATACGCACAGGACGCCGCCAGGAATTTGCGCATGTTGAGGGACACCCGAGCACAGCTCATAGAGGTACGAACTAGTAATGGCAGCTATTGTTACTTTAAAACTTTTATCGATAATTTAATCAATGCTATTCAAATCCATCGTTTGATAATGACAACATGATTTTACTTACACTTGGAGATTAGAGATAAGACGATATTCTAATAGTTATTAAGTTGGAAATAAAGCATATTATCTTAGTCCTTAAGGTTGAACCCACATTTGCATTTCGATTCAATTATTATTATATGGTGTATCTATATAGTTTTCTCATCTGGTTGGGTTCTATAAATATATAATTATAAATTAAAATGAAAAGATAAATATACATAAATATCAATAACATAAAATAAATATAAAAATACATAAATAAATAAAAACCCAACCAGATGGAGGCCCTCGGCAGGGGAGACCAAACGGCCGAGGGTTAGGGGGAAAGGGAAAGAAACCGGCGGACGATGCGGGCGGTATCGAGGAGCACCGCCTTCTGCATTTGAGCCCGGAGCGGTCCGCCACGTAGTCCCAGTCGCCTCAGATGACCCGAGAGGCTGACTGGGATTAACCCGTTTGCAGAGACGACTACAGGAATAATTTCGGTCGGCAGACCACCCCACATGTCAGTCACCTCGTGAGCCAGGTCCAGATATTTTGTTTGCTTGTCTGTTTCGGCTTTCACGAGGTTCTCGTCATACGGAATGGTAATGTCGACCAAAAATATCCTTGACTGTGCCCGGTCCATCAGCACAATATCAGGCTTATTCGCAAGAATAGTCCTGTCTGTGATGATGGCCCGGTCCCAATAGAGCCTGGCGCGATCATTTTCGAGCACGGCTTCCGGCAAGTACTTGTAATACGGCAATTTCCGATCCACGAGACCGTATTTCAGAGCGAGCTCCTGGTGAAGAATTCTGGCTACTAGGTTGTGCCTGTGCAAGTACTCAGAGTTAGAAAGCGCCGAACAACCGGAGATGACATGCCTAAGTGACTCACCGGGATGGCGACAAGCTCGACAGATGTCCACGGTGCCATCCTTTAGGATGTATCTCCGATAGTTGTTGGTCTTAATAACCTGATCCTGTATTGCACAGACAAAACCCTCGGTTTCCCCCGAATAGATCACCAAAGCGTAGCCAGTAGAGGGAGGCTACTGTGTCTACGAAAGGCTCATGTAGAGCCTTGTAGAACCTCCCGTGGAGCTCCTTCTCCTTCCATACGTTCTCCCGGTCGGAAATTGTCTGCACTGCCGGGTCTTGCCATTGCTCGTTGGCTAAGGATAGAGGGGTAAGTCCTTTATCACTAGAAATGACGTCCTTATAGAATGGATCATCCGATCTCGCCAGGAAGTAATTACGGAGGCTGCACACTTCGCGATTATGCATGGTGAGCGCGCTCAAGAAGCCACGCCCACCATGCTTTCGCGGCAAGTACAGCCTCATTACCGACGATCTCGGATGATGCATCCTGTGGGACGTCATGGTAGTGCGGACTTTTCTATCCAGGGCGTTAAGTTCAGTCTGAGTCCACCTGAGTATGCCAAAGGTATACATGAGGACAGGCATGACCCAGCCGTTATATGCGTGTGTCTTATTCACACCGGACAAAAGGCTGTTAAGCACTTTGGTCAAGCGTGCATAAAACACGTCGCAAACTGACTGTTTCATACCAGCCTCATCGATACCGATGTTCTGTGACATACCCAGGTATCGGTATGTTTCAGCCTCGGAAAGGGTCCTTAAGTTGACGGGCATAGATAAGTCTATGCCCTCAGAGTTAGCAACCCTCCCCCTTTCAACATGGAGGACCGCACACTTATCCGTTCCCAGCTCCATTCCAATAGAATTGCTAAATTCACAAGTGATGTTTAGTAATTCCATAAGATGGGAGCGACTGGAGGCGAATAACTTGAGGTCATCCATATAGAAAAGGTGGGTCACTTTTGTACCTCCTTTCCGAAGCTGAAATCCCCTCCCGGAGCCCTCCAGTAAAGTACTGAGAGGGTTCAGGGAGAGGCAAAACCAGATTGGACTCAGACAATCGCCCTGGAAGATACCCCTTCTTATCCTTATGTGGTTCTCCGCAGCCATCATCCGCTCGCCCAGATAGCAAAGGATCGTACTCCATTGCCCCATACACTGCTCGAGGAAGTCTCCAACTGTACAGTCAATTTTGTACAGCTGGAGGACTCTCTTTAGCCATGTATGGGGCACCGAGTCGAATGCCTTTCTGTAGTCTATCCAGGCGGCGGAGAAATTCCGACGGTTGCGTTTCACCACTTTGCCAATGACCGCGTCAATGAGGAGTGGTTCCTTGGTTCCACGACCACCGCCCCGGCATCCATTTTGAGCGCGTGACATCACCTGATTTAGCTCCAGGTGACGAGTGATTCTCGCGCTCAAAATGGATGTCAGTGTCTTATATATGGTGGGTAGACACGTGATGGGGCGGTATTTGCTCGGGTCTGTGGTATCCTGATCTTTAGGAACCAAATGAGTGATCCCAGTAGTGAAGAGGCTCGGGAGCGACTTCTGGTCGAGAGCCTCTTGAAACTGTCGGGCGAGCACAGCGTGACACACTACGAACCCCTTCAGCCAGTAATGATGCAGCCCGTCGAGCCCCGGACTTTTCCAGTTCGGGGCCCTACGGACCGCCTCAGCCACGTCTTCAGGCGTTATAGTGACGGGGTCCATAGGGGTAACACTTGCACTCTGGCTCGCCACAACTTCCATCCAAGGGCCCTCGCTGTGGTTTACGGGCTCTGACCACAGGCCACGCCAAAATGCGACAGTGTCAGCCTGATCCGGTCCTGGGCCCGCTCCACATACCTTTGGTCGCTCCAATGTTTTATAGAGCCTCTTCTGATCACTCTGGAAGAGACGATTCTGGTTGAACCGCCTTGACCTCTCGCTAAATCGTCGAATCCGCTTCCCCCAAGCAGCGATTTTTTGCTTCAGGTCATCTATGCGCTCCGTTAGTTTTTGCGTGATATCCGGCTGGAACAAATTGATATTTGTCCCAGCAAACGCCATCCTAACGGTGCGCATAATCCTCGGTCTATTATTACCCGACCTGAAGCTTGTCAGTCTGCCGATAAGGGCCCTTGCCTTTGCGATACGGTCCTCAATTCTTTTTCTCCAGGCTGGGATGGCGCTACTTTTTTGAGTAGCACGTCCAGCCCGGGAAGTTTGGCGCCAATAATACGGCATACTGCCAGTGCGGCGCCAAAAAGAATTGAATCCGTCTCGCAAAGGTCCCGGCTGGCTTCCAAATAGGTCACCAGCATTGGGTTAAGAGCCCGCACGACAGCCCGATTTCGCTTGCTAAGGGGTATGCGGGGAAGTCGCGGTCGATTTTCGAGAGGCATGCTGCGCGTTTCCAGCATCGACTCTTCCAATATGCTCCTCATTTTCTCTAGTTCGTGGGAGACTATTCCATCATCGTCTGAATTAGCCACAAATGGAATGTTGACGGCAGCATCCACATATGCAGTTTGTTGCGCATCTAGTGGCGCCGCATTCCCAGCCGTAGCATTTCCATTCGATGAAGGAATAGCCTCACGTCGTAGTCGCTCGAGTTCGGCGTCACCAAATATGTTGGAGCGCAGGATGTACCTAACTCGGTCTGCCAGGTTTTGCTCAGTGACGGATAGAGATGGCTCCAGCTCTGCAAAAAAGCGATGCATCCGAGCCCGATACGCCAAACATCCAGTTTCTTCCCCTTTTGCCCTAAAATACGCCCGCAGTGCGTTTTCATTCATTGATTTAGACCAACGCATGCGACGTGCTCCACCAGCGGCGGGTGCCGCTTGCTGAGTCCGAGAAGACCCAGCCGACACCAAGCCTTCTGGTGGGGATGATGGATGCGGGGGGCTGCTAGGTGGTCTTGCAACACCCCGCGCTCGGCTGGCGGCCCGCATGCTGTCGCGTCCAGCGCCAGCTCCAGACGCGCCCTGGCGACCTCCAGGCAGCGGCCCTTTGCGCACTATCTTTTTCTCCATCATCCATAATATGGGCGTCCATTAACGGGAGACGCCCAGGCCCGGCACCGTATCGTGGACGGCCATAAGCACAAACGGGCCTTTGCACCCTGAATTCTGCCGAGGCACGGCGCTCACACCTCTCGCAAGGCGCTGACTGACTGCGTTGACGTAGCAGTTTTGTCACTTAACTGTTACGTCAGCGGGCGATGGGGTCGTCAATTCCCTACGCCTACTTATTATATTATTATTATTATATTATTATTATTATTATTAATTATTAAAAATAGATATAGGTGCCTATGAACCACAGCATTCACTTAACATAAGTGGACTTGCTCGTTTGTCTTTCTTATTCTATTTAAAAAAAAACGTTTTCGACTTTGGTACTTTTAAAGGTCGGGCAGGGTTTTATAGTTGTATTGTACAAGATTGTGTTGTAACTTGTGTTGCAGGCGGAGCAGAAGGTGGAGCGGCTGGGTGAGGGCGAGCAGCAGCTGGGCGCGTGGGGCGTGGCGCCGCCCGCGCTGGCCGCGCTGCTGGCGCACGTGTCCTCCGGCACCTCCACGCGCTCCGTCTCGCCCACTGACAGGTACAGTGTGCGTGTGAGGTGCAGCGGCTAAGTGAGGGCGAGCAGCAGCTGCAACATCGGACTAGTTTCGGCGTTTCCACAAATAATTTACATACGCAATTATAAGCAACGCGGTTGTACGATGTGTACGCGGTGTGCGTGCGTGTCCCATCTGCAATCCTATCGATGTTTGTGTTTCCATATGTTGCGATATTTCAGTATTCGGAATCGAGAAGTGCCCGCAATATATTTTAAACCAGTACAGTAATCGATTTTTAGGTAAACTGGAAAGTGGGGTATGTGGCGTGGGTGATAGCGCTTCCCGTAACCATGGCAAATGTCTTTAAGACATTCGAGTGTACAGTAGTAAAAGTAATACGATACTTAAGAGAAAAGCAAGACAAATTTAATGTAACTTCTATTACTTTATAAAAAAAAATTAGTAATAGCTAATAAATTTTACTAATAAAGTGCATTACTCAAATAATAATAATGTAGCATATTTCTTCTCTTGATTCCGATTGTTTTATTTTACCTAAGTTTTGTTCATATTCGACCGCCTAATTTGATTAAGATCAATACAATTTGAGTATATTAATAGAGTAATCAAATTACACCTAGTCATTTCTTGTATGTATAGCATAGAAAGTATAAGAAAACTCTATTATTTTAAAATGCAAATTAATAGAAACAGATGAATGAAAATTGCGCATTTGATACAATTTGGGGTCCATCAAGTTGACCCCTGATCGGCAAAATATTATCTACAACATTACTACTAACTCTTTTATATTATTACAGTGCGCTGCTTGAACGGCCGCCGGTAAATGGCACACGGGAATCGAATACAGCACCCGCTTCACCGCCTGATGACAACAGCAGTTCGCCATTTCAGCGGAATACGTACGTACTACAGAGGCGTCGCCTCTATTCACCTCTCGCTCGCACATCGCTTCGCCTCTATACTCATACTTACCGGCAAAGACTGCATAAAAAATATTTATTTATTTATTTATTTGCTACTTAGTATGTATGTTACATGATATACTATTAAATACTATGCATACACACTAAGTCTCTACTGGAGACATGCAAATTTATTTATTCTTAGAAATTATATTTATACAAAATTAACACATCAAAATCAATCATTATTAAATCATTAAATTAGCAACAACAAACAATCCATCCAATTATATTCTAAAGATATCAAAAGTACCAAAAAAAAATTATAATTAACAAATAAAGTAAATTAAATTAAACAATATTATATACCATGTCAGTTAATAACAAAAAAAAATGTCAATTTTGAGCTATAGTCCTATAAAAGTTTTCATCAGTAATTTAAAAGCTCGTTTACGGAGTAAAATGTTTTTTGAAGAAGCCACTGGTATAATTTTTTTTGAAATGTTTTTATAGGAAGATCTTTTATTATGTTTGGTATTTTATTATATATTGTTTTACCCATCCAGTAACAATTTTTACTAAAGCGTTTACTTTTCGGTATTTCGCTAATTACTATCCGATCTGGGTATCTCGTGTTCATGGATACCACTTCTTTGTTAAGTTTATAAAAACTTTTCCCGTGTTGTTTTACAAATTTAGCAACTTCTAATATATATAAACAAGGCACGGGTAGGATTCCCAGTGTCTTAAATAGAGGTCGACATGAAACATCTGGGCCCACACCATGAATGGCACGAACACATTTTTTTTGTGCAATAAAAACTTTATTAATCTCTGCACTGTTGCCCCAAATTATAATTCCGTAGCGGATAATCGACTCAATATATGCAAAATAAGTCATAATTGCAGTTTGTTTTGTTGCCACTTTTGTTAGTCTATAAAGCGCATATGTGAACCTGTTTATTTTATTACATATTTTACAAACTTGTTCTTTCCACTTTAATTCTTTGTCAATAATTATACCTAGGAATGTCATATTAGTTGCACTACAAAGAGTTTGTCCATTATAATTAATATTTATTAAATTATTATTTATATTATTGAAATTTATATATTGAGTTTTACTTAAGTTTATTGTTAAATTATTATTACTTAGCCATTTAGTTACGTCAAATATTGTTTGATTAATGTCAAAATTATGTTTTGTTAGTGACATATTTTTATTTGTTGTGACTATTACTGCGACGTCATCTGCGAATAAAATACTTCTATATTTAGTAATTTCAGGTAAGTCGTTTAAATATATCAAAAATAAAAGTGGACCTAGTACACTACCCTGAGGTACCCCAAACGCATTTTTTCTAAATTTGGATCTATAACTTTGACTTACATGTCTATTGTCAAGTTTTAGCACCTCAACACATTGATGCCTGTTTTGTATGAATGACTTAATCCAGTGATATGCTTGGCCTCTAATTCCGTTTTGATCTAATTTGAACAAAAGCTGATCGTGTGATACGAAGTCAAAAGCTTTTGACATGTCAAAGAAGATGGCCGTAGTAAATAGTCCGTCATTAGTATTTTGTAAAATATTTTTTATTAAATTAAAAACGGCCAGTGTCGTGGATTTTGATTTTTGAAATCCATACTGAGTTGGATTTATTCTATTAAACTTATTTAGGAAAGTCATGACCTTCTTGTGCATGACCTTTTCAAAAATTTTTGATAATATAGGTACCAATGTCACTGGACGGTAATTTTCCATTAGTGTTTTTTCTTCTTTTTTTATATAATGGTTTTACAATAGACGTTTTTAATTTTTCTGGAAAGGTGCCAGATTCCATTGATAAATTAACTAAATAGGCTAATACTTTACTAATTTGATTTTTGCACGCTTTGATAACATTTGTACATATGCCATCATAACCTTCTGAATTTGTATTATTTAATGTCATTATAATTTTACTTATATCATATTAATCGACCGGTGTTAAATAAATTGAATTTTGAAGTCTATTTTGTGTATTACTGTATATAATTTTATTATTTATTTTATTTGTCAAATTAATATAGTAATTATTAAAGGCTTCAGCTATTTTCATAGGTTTAGTTATTATAAAGTTATTGTGTTTAATTAAGTCAATGTTAATAATTAATTTAATAATTAATAATAATATATGTTGCGATATACGTTTTTCGCACGTGCTATAACTTCAGTCCGATTTATCATTGGCATAAATGGTAAAAAATGCCATAAACTAAAAGTACATTGTGCTATACGTAAAATTGTATATAACACAATAAAGTGTTTTGAAAAAGAAAAAATCCGAAACGTTATTGTTTACGCCAAATCGTGGCATCTTGAAACTTGCAAGGCGCTCGTCCCAGACGAGGAACCCGTTTGGCGGGTTGCGCGGAGGGGGGCGTTCGCTTTGCGCCTTCGGCGGAGCCAGCTAGTCTGGAAGAATCTGAGCGCTACGGCGGTGCCAGTGGGAGGTCGGGAAATTAGTCTAGAATATTCTGCCTGCCTCCTTTGTCTTGCCTTATTTTGTACGTATATGTTACAATTCTTTGAGTTTGAATGATTACTTTATCTTCGATTGCCTTTAATTTGCGTCGACGTGTGGCTTGTATAGTTAATATTGTACGGAGGAATTTTGCTTTGTCGTGTGGAACGCTAAATTTTGTGATCTGGGTGGAGATCGCGTTCGATTATAGTTTGTGCTAAGTGACGTTAGACTTGAGCTCCGATAGCGGGGAACGCCCACTGGAGTGATTGCGCCTTGTGGAGCTGGACAACGCATGTGGTTCTGCTATCCGATTACATCGGTGGCGTCAGGTTACATTACACACCTTCCTACACCACTCACACATACCATTTACTTGCCCCTGACGGCACCTTGTGATCGACCCCACCTCCGGAACTCGGTAAGTTTGTGTTTGCTTATACAGCCGTTATAAATTAATTATCCATAGGCCATTGATTGGGCCCTAACCCTCAGTTGCTCGTCGAGTTGGGTTACTATGGGCCCTAGCCCAGTCGACTTTTGTCGGGGCAACTGAGGGCCGTAACAGTTATCATCCATAGCAATATAACAATGCAAGGGCGGATATGGCAACAGGATTTATCCGTACTGGCTATATATGTATGTAATGTTATAAAGTTACCATTTTTATATATCCTTAAAATGAAATAATAGTGGTTTTGGATATCAAAGAACGATATAAAACTTGTTTGTGACCCGAGTATGGGTTGAGACGTTTTTTTTAGTAACTACATGTAATTGTTAGCAGTGGTCGTCGTGGGTCAGTGCGGCTGCGAGACCTGGGCGTGTTCGGTCGCGAGGAGGACCCCATGTCGCAGTCCATGGTGGAGAGCGCGCCGCCGCGGCCCGCGCCGCTCAGCCGCGTGCCCAGCGCGCCCGGCAGCCTGCGGTCAGTACCGGCACACACATGCACATGCGCTAGCACGTAACACTTACACGCACACGCACGTACCGATTACACTAACACCACTCGTCCACGCACGTGTGCGAGTTCGTGTAAGAGTAGTGTATGTAGATTATATAGATTTTAGGTTTTTAAAAGGAAACCTATTGAACTAAGTATTATAGCATAACTTTCAGTTTTTAAAAGTCGTATTGACTACCTACCAAATGCCTTTCGGTCGACTGCCATTTTTATCCTATTAAAAAACTATAACCATCCGGGAGCAATCTATCTTTAAATTTTAAAACCTAAAGAGTCGCTAAAACAATAATTTGAATAAATTAACATGTTGACTTTGGCCTTTCAATACATTTATGAAAATGTAATGTACGTACACAAAAATAAAAGTAGTTCTACAAAAATAAGTGATATTCATTCTGTAAATACTAGGAACAGACACAAGCTACTAGTACCAGTTACTCGACTTCACCGTGTCAGTAATATATATTTGGGGCTTCATTCTTGCTTTTACAACAAAATCTCAGAAAATATACAAAAGTTAACCCGCTCAAAGTTCAAAAACTTTGTTAAACTAATTTTGTATTTTTTTTATTATATATGATGTATTTTTTTTTGTATATGAGATTATGAAAATATTAAGAAATTTATTGATGATAACAACTCCTGTGAAAGGTGATCGCTAACAAGCTATTTCTAATTTGTTTTGTGTTGTTGATTAAAAAAAAGTCTCGCTGGGTTTCTAGCTGATTCTTCCCAGGACAGAGGTATTTTTTTCAGAACCAGTGGTAAATTAAAAAAGTGACGTGAAGTTTATATTTCTTTTGGTTTGCATATTTGATATATTACTTTGGGGGTATTTTGTATTTACTTGCACTCAACGCTTACTCTAACATGCATACGCACATAACACACGAACACGCACACGCACGCAATACTTAAACACATACAGTTTTATTATTAAATGTAGCTTATTGATAGTATCGGGTATAAACTATTACGAGGTACGAAGCGTCTGGTATCATCTGATTGTACACTCCAGGCGAGAAGGTTAAAGCAAATCCTCCCTACAATAGGAGAGGCCCATGCCAAGAGTCTTTTACGAGCTGATGAATTAATTTAAAAAAAAACAGATACCTCGTATAACTATTCACAGTACTTATATAATATTATATGTAATAAGTATTTGTGTATCTTTTTTGTACGGTCCTAATATCATACATTTATTTTTCACATCATTATTCCATACCATTTATTAAATTATTTTTCGGGATTTTCTTTCTCAGATAGCTGAAGTTTTATGGAGTAACTTAGGCTACTTTTATTTTAGAAAAAGAGTGAAGGTTCCGCGGTAAAAATTAAAACTCATTATTTTTCACATCATTATTCCATACCATTTATTAAATTATTTTTCGGGATTTTCTTTCTCAGATAGCTGAAGTTTTATGGAGTAACTTAGGCTACTTTTATTTTAGAAAAAGAATGAAGGTTCCGCGGTAAAAATTAAAACTCATTCTTTCATCTCACTCATTCAAACTTCAAATAAAGAAGTACGATAACAAAATACTAGAAATGATTGTATACGAAGTCGCGGGCACGTGTGGTAGAATAATGAAGGTATAATTTCAGAGGGTTGACTCCCGTTAACTGCGCGCCGCTGTCGTCGCCGCTGACGAGCCGCCGGCCCGCGCCGCCCGCGCCGCCTGAGAGCCCGCGCCCCGTGCGCCGCCAGCACAGCCTCGCAAAGCCCGCCTCCTTGTAAGTATATACATTTTCTTCACAAAAACTTTGTAAAATTCTACTGCCTTCGTAAAATTTGAAAGTAATATGACAGTAAAATTCGGGTTAATTTTAGTTATTTTTTCCTTTAATAACATTCTTACACTTTTATACGGCTTATTACCATAATGTTTCGGATCGTGCATATATTTTTAGTTATTATCAAACCCGCGAATATGAGTGCTTAATACACTCAAACCGACGTAATTTCAAGATAAATTAAAATTTACGCTATTTAAATTGCTAATTTTATTTTATTTAATGTGTATCCACATAAATATATAAATAATCCTAACTATTAATTTTGACATAATATAAAAAAATCATTTTTAAATTTGAATTAATAGGTTCGGTCTTTTTTTACGTAACTACGTCTGTTTAATTAAATCGATCAAAAATGCTTAAATCTTTGAAATATTTGAAAATTATTTATTTGTCATGTTTAAACATCTTCGCTTCAACTCCAAAGCATCGATTGTCATACACTTTTAAATTTTGTTACTTCTGTTTTAACATATTTATTTGTATGTATTATATATTTTTAATCTATATTATTGTGTAAGTAGTTAGTTAATTATGCTATTGCCGGCACTCGACCACCTCGCTACCACTCTCTGCATGACACAAGCTTGGGTATATGTTACATAGTACATAGTGCTGTAGTTAAAAACTCAAGACGTCATAGATTTGTAAGAAAATATTACCGATAAAATAGTGGTTATATTGACAAATCATATAAAAAATATTTCAATATTCAGAACAGGAACGGATGTGCGAAAATGTATATTTTCCTTTCGTTTCCTTTTTAATCATATCTATTATTGTCGAATTGGTGATACCTACTGGTATATTTATAAACTACGCGTTAATTATACTATGATGTCTTGTCGGTTTGCACTGTAGTTAGAATTATTTGAAATTTTATTGGGATCGGGATTTTTAATGTTACATTACATTACTATTATGTCTAGTCATGTGTACATGTCTTGCATGAATATATGTAAATAGGGTGTTATTGTAAGTCTAAAATTTTAAAGATTGCTCCAATTTTCCTAATTATTATAATTTTTAAAGTCGTTTGCTTTTGTGAAAAAGGATTGATTCGTCTAAAATATAATAAAAGTCTTAACTAAATTTCACATAATATTGGCTATACGGCCCCATACATAATGAATTATTAAAATCAAATGTCAAATGCATCTTCGTAGTAGTGCGTATACACTACTAAGATTTGAAGCGATACAATTTTTAGACCGTAACGTTTTTTAAAAGTGGTTCTTTACGAAGATTAAAAAATACTTAGATGTACAAATGTCGCTGGAAGGCTAGCCGCTGATGGTATATTTTTAATTAATGCGTTAATCCCATATTGCAGTTAGATCAGACTTATCCATTATACGAATTTTGTGGAATTAAATTACGAACAATTGCTACGAAAAAAGAGTTATTTTATATATTACATAACCATCATCAATAATACAGCCTATCAATAGTTAACTGCTGAACATAGGCCTTCCCATATATTGCTTCATAGGAGGGACATGGCGGTCCGCAGCCGCGGTTTATTAGTTTATTATTATTGACGGTGTATTATGTACATAATATACTTTTATTTAAGTAATAAATATTAGATGACTGCCTCGTTGGTCTAGTGGTTGTAGTAATGTGACTGCTGATCATGAGGTCCTGGGTTCGAATCCCGGGTCGGGCCAAAAAATTAATTATTGAGTTTTTCCGTCAAGAAATTCTCAGTAGTTGCCCGGAGTCAGGAAGTTGGCGGTGTCTCACCCCCGTGCTTCGGAAAGCACGTAAAGCCGTCGGTCCTGCGCCTGATCTATCTCCGGTCGTGTCGGTATACCGTCCCATCGGATTGTGAGAGTGAGGCAATAGAGAGTGTACCTGTGCTTGCGCATACACTTGGGCACTATGATCCTGTCTTGCGCCGATGCTAGCCTCCGTTGAGGCTGGCCGCCGTGACCGAAATTCGGTCTGGAAGACATTATTAAATATTAGACAATAAAATAATATAATCTATAAACACGATATGATTAGAAGTATTTATTTTATTGTTATATGTATACGAATAAGTATACAAATACGTATATAGAAATATTATAAAAACATAGGATATGTGTATTTAACACTGTACATCCTATATACCTTTTAACAAGTAGTAACATGTTTTAGTGAAAACAGTTGAAAGCACACATTGAAACTATTACCTCTATATATAACAATCAATCGCTCTCCGTTAAACTCGCTGAAACTCGAAACTGGCTCGACCATTACTGAGGAATTTTTTGTGTGTCACATTTGGACTCGGTAGGTGGAGCTGTTATCGAAATCCAGAACTCACCCGTGCGAAGCCGCGGCAGAACGCTAATAACGTATAAAAAAACCTCGCACAGAATTAAAAAAGTTAAATTTGCAATGTTTGTAAGTTATTCTTTATGCCATCGTGTGTGTATCGATTGATTATTGTTAGAGGACAACTTGCTTGCACACATGACTATTGACTGGTAGATAGGAGGGCGTTAGCGGGGTATGTGGGTGTCGGTGTCTCACGCCGGGCATTGCTTGCAGCCTCCTCACCGACCTGTCCATAGTCGAGGACTGACGACGACGCCGGCCCGTGCTGCTCACACTAGCGAAATGTACATAGCATGCAACTATCACCCTTATTAGCAAGAACTTAAAAGCTAGACAACTCGTGCCATTATTGTAAATATTTTTAGTAATTAATGAATTTTAGTAAATTGCTACTACAACTTTTGATGTCGTTACTTAGTAGAATTACTACTTTATCTCTTAGTTATATTGCACGCAACAATCATGAGTATTAAAGCTTGCAAATAAGGTCACATACAAGTTATTGTGTGTTTAACTAAACTGTCGTTGTGATATACTAAGCTATAAACTACACAAATAGCCGCTATAAAAGAGCATTTATTTCTAAGTACTGTTAATTGTATCGAATATTTAGCATCGATGGGTCGCTTGTCTCATTTTGACGTAGTAAGTATAATAGGATATCCTATGTAATCTAAAAGACTTAAATATCAAGATATATATCATGTCTAAATGCGGCAACTGATTAAGACTTGAAGAGTTAGGGACAAGGGGGTCATGCAAGACAGAAAACCGACAATAATGAAAAAAGATTTCAGTATCTAAATTTTAATTTAAAAAGGACGTAGGATCTCCACTACTTAAATAATGACCCAATAATATGCGAAAGATATAAAAGATATAAAGGTTTACTTACTTACTACTTTGTGGTCATTTGAAAATGTGCCTGTATCTCATAATGAGACAATGTACTTATCGGTATTACATTTAACAAATATTTGCTCTTTTATACTGTGGACGTTTATATATTTAGGATTATATTTGTTTAATTAACATTAAATTAATTAATAATATGTAAAGCTATGCCTATGTATATATGATGTAGTAATTTTACTATAATACGGGACAGAACTATTAACTAGTGTTTTTACTAATCATCCAACGGCAAAACTTTTTTAGTCACAAAAATCCGCTTAATGAATAAGAACAATTTATTAAGTTCGTGCTACATTCATCAATGTTTGGACGGACCATATTTTATTTTTGGGCTTTAAACATTTGTTACATATGAATGATATTCTTATTAAATAATATCATTATGTCTGTAATATGTATATACCCTTTTGTTCAGAGGTTTCTTCCTCAATTTTGAAGTGAATTCTCGTCGAACGAAATTTCTTTTAACAAAAACCAATAATCCAAACAAATTATTATTTATCTTAACATTAAGCTTTAACTGGGATAAGGAAATCTAGAACTGTATGTAATATTTAAAGTACATGTATGTAAAGCCTCAATAAACTGTTTGCAACAATTCTGTGTTTGTTTGCCTCCTAGCATAACGCACCGACTGCATGAATTTACATACTATGTAGTTACGTCTAAATATGGATATTATATCAAGTAGTTATTTATTGCATGGATATATTAAGTCGTTATTTATTTTGTTATTTCTAAATATGTGTTAAATATGTTTTGTTATGGATTTTAATTTAAAACCAACTCAATTTCATAATAATTATACAAAAAATTATAAGCAAAAGTCCTCAAACTTTGACAGTTTATATGGAATAATGAACTTCTGTGCGTGTTAAAAATAGGTAAGCCTCTTTTAGTTTGTAACATTGAAGTGTTTATCATTTTGTACTGCGCTTTTGTGTTATTAGTAGCGCAGTCATTGCTCGTGCATGCTTTACATTGAAATTTATTACTCGCGAAATAAGTGATTTAGTTTTAATGTTAGATTTCTCATGACATTCATTTTTCCTTCCTACGTTACCCTTTAAACAGAGCATGGAATTTAATTAATGATTTTTTTTGAATATAATTTTAGAATAAAACTAATTTTACGGTTTATTAATCATTATCAAAATTAGATTTATTTCGTATGTAGTATGTAAAGTCTCACCCCCGTGCCTAGAAAAGCACGTAAAGCCGTTGGTCCTGCGCCTGACCTCTCTCCGGTCGTGTCGGCTTTTCGTCTCATCGGATTATGAGAGTGAGAGTGAGGGAATAGAGAGTGCACCTGTGCTTGCGCGTATTATAGCGCTATTATGGTGCCTAAGTGGCACTATAATCCTGTCTGAAATTCGGTCTGGAAGACATTAGTATTCGCGTAAGCATAAGAAACCATAATCCACTTTTAGAATTTTATTATTAAAAGGGTTGAAAACATTGTCATATATTTATTTTTAAAAAGTCCTATGATTGTGTACAATTTTTTCGTCAACTAAGGAAAGACGCTGACTGCAAAGTTGAGGTATGATCGAGAAGCACTTTTGATTTTTAGGAAAACATTGTAAACGTAGTTCATCCGATCAAGTCACTTCTAATTATGACCATTGCTTTTATCATTTTTAAATTTTCGATTGCTAGTATATAATAACCGTTCGTCCCATCCACCATTAGACCATTTTTAATCTGAAACAGTTGAACAGTTTAACGAAAATCTTCCTTATCATGAAATTTTTTAAACAATTCAATGAACAATTAACCCTCGTGATCGTACATATGAATGTTTTGAGCCCTTCATTGTTCTAACTCCGTACTAATAATTGTCGATCGTTCCGCTTGTTTAACGCCTGCGCCTGTCATGCCACTAACGCAGGGAGACAAGTGGAGGCGGGAACACCGTGCTGGGGGGGACTCCGCCCGCGTCTCCTGGTGCAGCGCGACGAGCACGCGACGATGACGTGTTCCTTCGTTTGACTGGAGCTGCCCATGACAACTCTCCACAAGGTGTCATTAGAGAACTGCCTTTGAAGGTGGGTCTATTTAACATTATTTGGCTGGAATCAATATCGTTAATTTATTTAGTAAAGGTTGTTTACCGACAAATCATAGAGATAACATAGAGAATCTAAAAGTACCTAATATGTACCTAAATGTAAATATAATATCTAAATGTAAAATAAAATGCCATAAAAATACATAAAAGTAAAAGATGATTTTCAATTATAGTTATTTAGTCTCTATTTTGAATTAAAAAAATATTCTATACTATTCGCTTATTAAATATCGTGTATCGTGACGTAAGTCGCGGTGTAGAAACATCCACTAGTCTATATCGTCGTAAGAGGCGACAGAGGGAGTCTGAAACTGAAGGTGGGCAGGAGCATCTACCTGATAACAACTCAAAACAATTTATATAAAATAATATATAGACTTTTATACGATGTAATGATGCGATAAATCAACGAAAACGCATAAGAAAATAAATGACCAACTATTTTATATCTGAGAGGATGTTGTGAAATGTTGTCTTTACAATCTTAGATGGGTATCTATTATTATGGCTATAAATAAACCTTTATCATTTATTCTCTGATCGTGGTTTATTTGGTAGAATAACTCGACGTCACAAAACACAAATTGTTCTTCTAGTCTGGTCGTGCTGTCGCCCCAGCGCATCTCGTTAATCAATCCTTCACATAACTATAACTTTTTAGTAAGAGGGAGGACGTATCCCCGTAGCATAAAACGCCTAGGACGACAGCATGATCATTATATGTTGTATAGTATATTTCATTACGAGTGCGGAAAGCCTGTCACTGCAAAGAGTTCCGACAAATGTCTACCCGAGACGAGGCGCAGCCGAAGGTGAGGGTTGACAGTCGGAACAAGTTGCAATGACGGTTCCGCACGTGTACTGAACAACTATTTTTAATACAGTCGCGAAAAAATGAAGCAATTTAATAAAATAATAAAAACATAATAAACTTAACTAACTAATCATTTATTTCTTATAAAAGTTATAATTCATATACTATTCATATGTTATAAGGGTGACTACGCATATGCATATTGGTCGAGGAAAGATATAAATGTTATGGTCCACAGTATCCACTTACCATCAGATGGACTGTGTGCTCACTTGTCACCCTCATACCGTAAAAAGGTGACCCTACTGTGTGTTTGCTACACCGAAATTAACTTACAATATTGTAAATTAATTTCGAATATTTTGATACAAATATATTAATTTGAAGTGTGAAAAGAGTCGGTGTAAATATGGGGTATTTTCGAGAGTCATTACGAATCGTCTCGCACGCAGACTCGACGACTTCCAGCCTCCCGAACAAGCCGGTTTCCGAAAAGGCTTCAGTACTATAGACCACATACATACCCTGCGGCAGATTGTACAGAAGACCGAAGAGTACAATCTGCCACTTTGCCTGGCATATGTGGACTATGAGAAAGCCTTTGATTCCGTCGAAATTTGGGCGGTGCTACAGTCCCTTCAGCGGTGCCAAGTTGACTGTCGGTACATCGAAGTGCTGAAGTGTTTGTACAGTAGGGCTACGATGGCTATCCGAGTACAGAACCAGAGTTCGAAACCTATCCAACTGCAGAGAGGTGTAAGACAGGGTGATGTTATATCCCCGAAACTCTTCACCGCTGCGTTGGAAGACGTTTTCAAGCTACTGGACTGGAAAGGATACGGTATTAACATCAATGGCGAGTACATCACTCACCTTCGATTTGCCGACGATATAGTCATTATGGCAGAATCGCTGGAGGACTTAAGCATTATGCTCAATGACCTCAATAGTGCCTCCCAACGGATAGGTCTTAAGATGAACATGGACAAAACAAAGATCATGTTTAATGTCCATGTCACACCTATGCCGGTAGTTGTTGGGAGCACTATGCTCGAAGTTGTTGACGAGTACGTTTACCTGGGACAAATAGTCCGACTAGGTAAGTCCAACTTCGACCGAGAGGTCAATCGACGGATTCAACTCGGCTGGGCAGCGTTCGGGAAATTACGACATATCTTTTCGTCAGGTATACCTCAATCTCTAAAAACTAGATTGTACAACCAGTGCGTGTTGCCAGTGATGACTTACGGATCTGAGACGTGGTCCTTCACTGCTGGCCGTATGAGGACGCTTAAGGTCGCTCAGCGAGCTATGGAGAGGGCTATGCTTGGAGTTTCTCTGCGTGATAGACTCAGAAATGAGGATATCCGCAGTAAAACCAGAGTGACCGACATAGCCCAACGGATTAGTAAGCTGAAGTGGCAATGGGCCGGCCATATAGCTCGAAGAACCGATAACCGATGGGGAAGAAAGGTTCTCGAGTGGCAGCCTCGTACCGGTAGGCGTAGTGTAGGGCGACCCCCACTAGATGGAGTGACGACCTGGTAAGACATGCAGGAAGTCGATGGATGCAGGTGGCTCAGGACCGTGCTTTGTGGCATTACTTGGGGGAGGCCTATGTTCAGCAGTGGACTTGTGAAGGGCTGTAATGATGATGATGATGATGAAATATGGGGTATAGTAATCTATTCCGTCCTTGTAATCAAGAGAAATTATTGTATCACCCGCTATTTTGAATTAAATGTTTACTGTATAGTGGAGTGGTAGCTCGTTCATTCTATTAGAATTTAATTAATTAATGTTTGGGATTCTTAACCAAATATTATATTTTATATTTCAGCAACGTATTAACATGAGCGTCGGCGGTAGTAGCAACAGTAGTAGCGGTGCATGGTTGCAGTGCACACACGTGGCGGAGGGACACGTCGGCGCCACGCTTGCATTAGCTGCCACGCTTGACCTATTGTATAGCGGCGGAGTAGGTACGTGATATAAAAATTTTAATTAAATATAAATAAATTTATACCTTTTTTAATAATATTCTAGCATATATTAAATATCCTCTAGGCTAATGAAATGACAGTTCATAATAAGTATAAATTGAACTTAATGATGATGACTTGCAGAAAACTGCACTCAGCACAAAAACTGGACACTATGAGTTATTGAGGATGCCATTTGGATTAAAGACAGTTTCTGCCACTTTTCAGGGAGTTGTGAATAAACGTCCTATTCACTCTGTCAGCTACTCGCCCGCGGCTGCGCGATCCACAGCTGTGACACAGTTTTTGTTCTGAATTGCCTGTCTAGTAGTAAACTTAGAAGTTTTTGGGTAAATGTGGTCAATGCAAATTGCATTAGTATGGCGAGATTTAAAGCGTGCAGTGTTGTGATGGTGCAGACCGCACGGTGCGCGGGTGGGACACGCGCGCGGGCCGCGAGGCGTGGCGCGGCTGGTGCGGCGGCGCCGTGTGTGCTCTGGCCGCGCCCGCCGCCGACACCCCCGGCCTGCTGCTGGCCGCCGCCGGCCCCACGGTCAGGATCTTCGACGCACGCCTCGGCACGCCCGTCGCCACGCTCTGGTACGTACCCAACCACACGCACCGACGTAAATATATACAAACCTAATTTGTTACCACATATTATTTTAATTTTCATTATTATTATTTTTTTTATAAATCATGAATATGACGGTGGCGCCGTCGTACGTCGGTACAGCAAAATTGTAAAGAACACGTGTACCAATCGCGCCGCCCGACGCGTCGCTCAGTTTCCCCCACCGACCCACTACTCTTCTTGTTTTGCAACAACGGGTATAATATGACCGCGCAGCGAAGCTCTTAAGGGTCTTTATCTTCGTGCGCAAAAAAAAACGGAGCAGGCAGTCATGGCTCTGGCGTGGCACGGTTCACTCCCGCTACTAGCTCATCCTAGACTATTCAAATAATTAATTCGTGGAAACGAATTAATTATTATTATCAGCTATTAAATTAGTCTCAGTACAATTTATAGTTTATTACCTGTTATCCGTGTATTTTGTGATTGTAAATTAATTCTATTTAACTACCTTCCTACAAATACTTATTTGCAAGAATCACGCTATAAAAACATTCAGTTTTAAACCAATTATACAAATGCTTCTTATAACATAATCTTTCGTTAATAGCAATTTAAATAATTTATATTTTTTATTATATAGTTATTAGATAAAGTACTGTTTTCAGTTGGGACCTTAATTGACTCACGAACGACCGGACATTGATGTAAAGTACTTTTTACATCAATGTCCGGTCGTTCGTGAGTCAATTAAGGTCCCAACTGAAAACCAGTGCTGTGATTACCCACAGATTATTACTGAGGCGGGATCCTTTTTGACATCACACAACTGTATAATTTCCTATTTGTAATTTGAACAAATTTCTGTTCCCTAATATTGTGTGTTTGTTATATAAATATTTGTTTCTTTCTTTTTTCCGAGTTTTACTGACAATACATTTTTAAACGTTATTTCGGGTCACAATGTTTTTAACCACTTGTACATTAGGTCTTCAGGGACAACAGGCGCGGCTGCATCATCGCGCGGTGAAGTAGCGGTCACCGCTCTCGCGGCAGTTCCGCCGCATCGGCTATATACCGCGGCTGGAGACAGACTGCGACTTTGGGATTTGCGGATGTATGTGATTATTTTTTATTATAATATAGGCTCTTAAGAATAGGTTTTGTACGCATTCATTTAAAAAATTCCGTAATTTAGATATTAGCGATACTGAAAGGATAGACTGCTTACCGAATGATGACAGTTAGGGAGGCCGCGGTTATATTCTCTGGACAAAATAATATAAATAAAATGCCGCTTTTGCTTTCGCCACGTATTTTTTTAACACAAAGAACATAATAAGTTCTAAATCAGACTTGTGGTAAGGTATAACCTGAATGATGTAAAAATATTGTTTGCCTGCTTTTAAATAAGTAAATTGACAAAGACAATAATTTTTGTTATGTGTTTGTTACAAAACTAGAGAAAATTCTAAGAAAAATGGTGTTTTTATATGGTCACGCTACTGACTAAATTTATATCCAGAATGAAGGGCCAGAAAATGGTGCGGCCACAGGCTGTCCCTTCGAATCCGGGTCGAAAAAACAGAAAATAGTGAAGCGATAGGTTCGATTCCCGGGTCGGGCCAATTTATTCTTAGGGATCGATTTTCTTGTGGGCTGTATGCGTCATCTGTGCTCCCGTTCCCTGTAACCAAACAAGATGGCTGATGTGGCTCGAGGCAGTCTTGGACGATGCACTCGCTATCACCTAATCTATTATTTAGCTAGTGTCCTGAGATGGGATTCTACTTGAGCTGTTAGGACAAACACGGTTTGAACAGCTCAGTATTAATTTAAGGAACACTTACTAGGGTTTACACTTACTTTCCTTCTGCTGGCGGCCTCGACGACGATGGCCCTGGTGTTTCGACTGCGTTGAAAGAGGAGCGGTGCGCGACGATAACTTGCACTGTGCGAGGTGGTTACTTCTAGATTGTTCTGTGGTGCGACTGCCACAGAGGTGCAATCACAACTAGCGTTGGTCTTCAACTACGATACAAGAAGGGCAAGCAGCGGCAGCGGGCGTCCTTTTATTGGTCGGCTATCCCTACCACTTCAATCGCGACGGGGCGCGTTTCTTATTGGCTACAAAATCACGCCACATAATTTAGCTTCTCCCCCCCTTGCAGTGCGTGTGGAATGGAATGCGTGGATGGGACGGAGAGGGACACTGGCAAAACAATAACCAACTAAACAAAATGTGAGAGTACCCGTTTTTTCCGCGCAACCATTATATTTTTGTTGTGTCGTGTCGAAATTTGGTCTGGTGGATCGTAAACTGCCTTATTATAAGTACTATCCGGAAACCATGCTCGAAAATGACCGCGCCGGGCTCTACTGGGACTGGTTCGTTATCGCAGACTGGACTATTTTTGCGAATAAGCCTGATATTGTGCTGATGGACCGGGCACACTGTCAAGGATGTTTTTCGTCAACATTACCATTCCTTGCGACGAGAACCTCATGAAAGCCTAAACTGATAAACAGACAAAATATCTGGAACCGGCTCACGAAGTGACTGACATGTGGAGTGGTCTACCGACCGAAATTATTCCTGTGGTCGTTTTTCGAGACTCCGTGACGTACCGCTCCTGGCTTAAATGTAGAAGGCGATACTGTCTGCATCGTCGCAGGTTTCTTCCCCTTTATTTATTTATGTATTTATTTGATTGATATTTATGTATATTTATCATTTCCATTTATATATTTATACAACCTAACCAGGTGATACCACAAATAATAATAATAATTTCCTCCAGATCTGGGATCAATCACGGGAGTCAAAGGAGACTACCCATCTGCGCAGAACAGGATTATAGTGCCCGAGTGTTTGCACAATCACAAGTTCACTCTTATAGTCCGATGGGACGGTTTTCCGACACGACTGGATACGAATAACAAAATTTGAACCTAATTTTAATATTTAAACTTTAAAATGTCTGTCCTGCATATGACTTGTCTCCGTTGAGACAAGTCATACCCCACATGTCGTTGTCATGGTGTAGAGGATTGCTAATGAGGTGCGGTGGCGTGGGTGTGCGAGCAGGATGGAGTGCGCGAGCAAATGGTGGTCGGGGCACGCGGCGGCGGTGATGTGTGCGGCGGGCGCGCGCGTGGCGCACGGCGACCGCCTCGCCACCGGCTCGCGCGACCACTGCGTGCGCCTGCTCGACCTGCAGCCCTCACACACCGGTACCTGCACATACACACACAATTTTATAGTTTTTATTTAATAACTACAAGTCCACTGCTAAACAAAGACTTATTTGTATACTACTAGACGAGCTCCGCACCCATTACGCACAAATTTAAGATTCATTCTCTGTAACTCGTTTAGTTTACTGCAAGCGGGTGGGCAAGAAAACTATTTGTTTATTTTGTAAACCGTGAACGTTGTCTTTGACAATCTAAAACTGATTTTGTGACTGTGATTAAGGTGATACTTAGAAAATTTAGTGTTTTTTCTATTTTACATATTTTCTAAGTTTTATAAATTACGAAGTAAATGTTAGGTACTTATGATTTTTTACTATATGACCTTGAATTTCATAAGAAAAAACAGCAAAGTAAGCTCTAATTTGTTACATTTCTTCATGACACCACAATATTATACAAATAAATTCATGGAATAATTATTAAGGCATAGTAAATAATCATATCTAAGTTCTCATAAACCATTTTTTAAACCGTAACAAAGTTTAAAAAAAATGTTGTTTGGTGTTTACTATACTTTTTTATCGAGCGTGTGCTCTGTATAGCTATTTCATAATTTGCATATTATGAAGTCATTGCATCACTTTCATTTTGACACAACCTCAGTCGTCCGTGAGCTTCACCGACATGGAGATAAGCCAAGCCCCCAAAACTGCGATTCATTTTCAAGGTATCCTCTTGAGAAAACGCTTTTATTATTTATGTGCGCACTTTGTCAACTCAATTTGAAGTTTAAAATATCAGATAAGTATGTAACTTTATTCCGTGTTTGCCGAAAAACAGTAACTATCATGGAATAAAACTATTTATTACGGATACCATGTAGTGTCGGTGTCAGAATATTCTTTACCTCATATCATCCTGTGACCGCGGCTCCACATTATCGCCGTGAAGCTCCGTAAACAGGCGTGAACGTGAATGTGGATGGTTTTCGCGGGATTCACGCGCGTTCACGCCTGTTCCCCGATCAGAGTCGGTATTTTGTCCCGCGACAAAGTGTTCACGCACCCTTCGCGCAGCGTTCACACGTACACATCCACATTCACGGCACCGTGCCAGTTCGTTTCGTACTACAAAGGACGATGTATTTTGGTCATACACCAACTTTTTATTTTCCAACGCTTTCTAATAAATTTCTCGTTTTGGATGTCTAAATAGAGATATGTTGCTACAGGAAATAAAGTTATTGCAGCAGCAGCTTCTATGTCCGTTTCGCGGCGGGGTTCACGAACGATTGTCAACATCCCGTGAATGTGTAGGGCACGACTTGTGCCGCGAATTCACGGAGTTTATTCGCGCATGAATTCACGGCGATAATGTGGAGCCGCCATCAGTGTCGTAAGAAGCCACAGAGGGAAACCAATCAGGAGATGGGCAGCAGCGTCTTCCTAATAACGACTAAAAATAAAAACTGGTTGCCAACTCGCTTGCCAAGCGGGACAACTTTGACAAATATTCCTTCTATGAGGCAATCTATGAGATGTGGGTAGATCTATGTTCAGCAGTGGATTTAGGCTCTAACGGTAATTTTTAAGTATTTGGGTGCTGTAAAATACTAGAAACGTCAAGAACACAAAACCAGTTAATTAAACGCGATTATATACACGTAAACAAAATTGTTTCATCCACTGCTGAACATAGGTCTTCCCCATAGAGTACTCATAGGAAGGATTCTGTCGTAATTGCCACACTGCACAGGGGCTTGGCAACCGCGGTTTTGTTATGACATATGCTGCTGCCCATCTTCTGTTTTAGTTTCTTTCTATCACCTTTTACAACATCAGCGGACGTATACTTACACCGCCACCACGCGGTTAAATATAAGTTATTTTATACAGATTATAATTTTTTACGTGGTTGAGCCACCCCACCACCCTGCAGCATGAATAAATCGGCTCAACCGCGTTAGGACCACGCCCGCACGGAATACCACCGGAAATCAACAGTTAATGTTGCCGTGTTTCGTATGGTAAGTGTAGAGAACCAGAGACCTGGTTTAATGGTAACGAGGATTTCCATCTTAGTCCTCTAATCTTTTTTGAAAAAGTAATTTAAATTTTTCAATAACTTGGTTGTACCATTTCATAACCGTGTAAGGACGATAACCAGGTAAACTACGATACATAAATCGAGGTTGTTCTTGAAATTATTAATTTCTGGTTCAAAAATATAGAGCCAGTATAATTGCAGTGCATTGCATCTATAGCCTTCTTTGCTTGAATTCGGTTGCATACTGCAGTAGTCACTTACCATCAGGTGGACTGTAACTTCGATTGTCACTTCAGTTTTGTAAAAACATTTTTTCAATGTCTCTGGGTTTTGATATGGGACAGCTAAACTGTTTTTAAAATAATTATTTTACGTATTTATTTATCTTTTTCCATTCAGGTTCATGGGAAGCATCCAACCGACGGCTTCTAGAGCCACCTCACTATGATGGCGTGCAAGCACTTGTACTGAGCGGAGACTTTCTTTATAGTGCTTCGAGGGATTCTAGCCTTAAGTGTTGGAATCTAGCGGATGATAGCCTAACCCATGTTAGTAGGAATCAACTTTAAGCTCGCAGACATTACCATCAAATTATATTCAATTAGTGTGATAGTTTGTAATCGCGTTTAAATCACAACAGAAGATAGTTTTAGTCAATACTATCAGTACATACAGCCAATATTGTTGCATGAGTTAGTTTTAATTCAACGATCGTACAAATTAATGGCTCTGGTTCTGATGGCGTAACAGTGTGGAAAATAAATGCTTGAAATTTGATAACCTCTAAAAGATAAACATGTCGTATATGCTAGATTTTAGGTTTTAAATCTAGTTGCAGCATAATATACTATGCGGCATAAAATTCACGAAACCTCCGATACTGCAACCGCTAAATATGGCATGTATATTATGGCGATTTCAGAAGTCATTCTTCAAAAACTATTCTCAGTCTTCCTGAGTGTTGTAAAAGACGAGGGTAGGAAAGATTTTAGATAGAGAACACCTGGCAAAAGTGCTTGAATTTTAGTGACCGTCATTATTTTTTTATTATTTAGGAAGACTTATAATTATTTGCACCAATGCTTCGTATATGAGTAAAAATTACCCATTATAGAGTTTTAAAAGTAGAGTCTGATTTTCTTGTAAAGTATAAGCATTGTTGTGTTAACATCAGAACAACGACGAAAATAAGCGACAAACGGATTAGTAACTTCGAGTATTGTAGTCGCTAATCCGTAGGCGTGGTGATTTTGGCAAACTCAACTATTATGTTTTTATATGCGTGTGATGAGGATAATGACGTATTTTGCTATCTGTTCAAACCAACTAAGAAAACGGATAGAGTGCTGCGGACGGCGTTACTTTTATTGTAGGCAGCACAGCGTACTATTTACTACGCTGTTATTTATGCAGCAGTCAATTTTTTTAAGTGTGGGAGTTTTATTGTAATGGAGACGAAATTGTAGCGTGGTGATGGGTGTCAAGATTTTGACCTAAATACGTTCTTAAATTTGCTTTCATAGTGGGATGTAATTTAAAAAACTGATGGTAACAAAATCGGTAGATATAGTTTGATGTTGTGGCTACATATCTTTCATATACATCTAAAATTTAATTATACCACTCGATAGCTAAGGGATTCAAGAATTCGTTACGTTAAGTGAGTACTCTGATGGATTACTTTTTTATGAGAGGGGTACACGAGCGTGCGGCTTATCTGTTAATAAGTGACTACCGTTGTCCATGAACAACTGCAATACAAGAGGAACTGCAGTTGCGTTGCCGGCCTTTTAGAAAAGCGTAGACTTTTATTGTAACGCGCAGCGGAGGGGGCAGTGCCGCAATTTTGAGGTCGTATCGCTGCACGTATTCACGTAAAACATTCGGCAGTGTACACGACACAGCCTCGCCTGATCTTTAGTGTGTGATTTGTGCGCAGAGCGTGATGAACGCGCACAAGGGGTGGGTGACGGGTCTGTGCGGCGTGGCGGGCGGCGGGCTGCTGGCGAGCGTGGGGCGCGACCAGGCGCTGCGGCTGTGGAGCTGTGCGCTGCGCGCCGCCGCGCCGGCCGCCGCGCTGCCCGACGTGCCGCACGCGCTGGCCGCCGCGCCCGCCGCCCGCGCGCTCTACACCGCTGGCAGGTAACTACCGCACACACATGTTGCCGACATGCACGCCAACACACACATACCGCCGCCAGACTGAGCTCGCACACACACATACACAGCTTACCGACTCATGTACACCCGCACACATGTCATCGACGCGTACTATACCGCCGCTAGAGTGAGCGCGCACACCGGCATCTACACACGTATACACGTGCACCGCTGCGCTCTATACAACTTACCAGCTATATGTGCATATGTGAGCTCGCACACCAACGCACTTTTAACCCACACACCCGTACAATATATACTGCTGACATGTACACGCAGCGATACATTTACACCCACAAAAATGTCACCGACACGCTCTACACCGGTGTAGAACGCACCGACAAACCTACATACGAACACACTTGTACTGTCGCGCTCTATACCGACGTCAATTAAGCGCGTATACCGACTCATACGCATAAAACACACCCACTTTGAAAAATACGGGCACATTTTATATGCACATACTAGGCGACCTATATTCAATTATTATCACAACTATATATTGAACAACAATCTACCGTATACATTATTACCGATATTCTGCGTTCTATCTGTTTGTCTTTAGCTATATGTAGCAAATCATCATTAAAAACCTAAATAGTACTCTAACATTATTAACTCTTACCATTTATATCATTAATGATCGTCTATCTTTAAAAATGGAACAACGTTTAAGTCAAAGTTGTGTTTAGCTTGAATATTCTGGCATCGTCACTTAAAATGACTAGACAACAAATGCAAGACGCTTAGCTATATGAAAACTACTTAATTACATATATTTTTAAGAATATAATATTATATTTATAATTGCTACTGACCCAACACTGTAATACGTAATATATCGCACACATTACTCACACATCTATCGTAATTTTGTAATCAAACTACTATATGATTCAACCCACTTTAATTATAAAGCTAACCCTTTTATATGTTAAAATCTAGGTGACCTTCATCTCTCTTGTTTCATATTAGCGCTTGATTTGTAACTTCGTTTCATAATTGATTATTGAATTATTTTCAAATTCAACATTAGTTGTGAACTAACGTTGAGTGTGTTGCAGCGGCGGCGAAGTGCGTGCGTGGCGGATCGTCGACGAGCAGTGAACAGGTGCAAACAAACAAACGAACACCAAAACTTTCACACTATATGCAAAAATAAACGAAACGCACTGTGTGAACTAACCCTTACAATTTGCTTCGCTTTTTATAACTAATCAGCTTATTGATTTATACAATTTGATAATAAAAATTTCAAAATTGCATGACGTTAAGTGTAAACGTAATTCCATATTCATTGGTACGTCATCTCTGTAGATTATTTATGCGGCTTTATCTTTTATAAGTTAAGTAATATAATTTCAACTGATAAATTTGAAAATGGCTGTCAATTGAAATTAAAAATGTCCGTATTGAAACGAATCTGATAATGAAATAAAAAAAATACCGTTTTAAACATTTCACAAAATACACAATCCCAAAGAGCCTTACGGCTTGTAAATGGATCCACTATGAAAGTAAACACTATAAGTTGCGCGCGGCAAACAACAAAATCGAAGATATTTTATTGACCTACAAACCACTCCTCCCTGTGTTAGTCGAGTAACATGTCTTCAAAACATTTGATCCTTTATGGTTATACCCATAAACTCGTGAACCACACAACTTCTTTTAATTTTATGCTCATTTCTTGTACCTACCTCATTATCATCTAGTGATGATAACCTGTAATTAAACCTGTAATTAAATTCAGCTGTGCGGAGATATCTGGCCAGTAGTAATTTCAAAAAGGGATCGTAGTGTTTAAAATGATTAAAAAAAAACATAAGAATATGGTAATGGCAGATATCTATATATGACATTGGTAGAGCCATGCGACAACTTTTGGTGTTGCACGTATGGGCCGGCTTGAGCCGGGCTGATACCACGACCTCACAGAATAGAATAGCGGAATTAAACGTAAGACTACCCCAGGAGGGTCCAAGCACTCCTGGAGAATTCCTCGCTGAGTATCAATGACCGAGCTTCTCCACTCCTGAGCGTGGATACTCAGGCTGCCTCGCGTATTCCTATGGGTGGGTGAGGGGGGGGGGGGCAAAATTCCGCCCAAGACAAGTAACTGCTCGGGACAAGCTGAGCAACAACACCAAGGCGACCCCTGTCACGCTATCCGTAAATTTCTGCTATATCAGGGGATTTCACTTGAAACTAAATGCCGTCCACTATCATCTCGAGACGGCGAAGCCGGCCATGCTCTTTCTGACCAGGACGCGGGTGTCCTCTTCGGCTGAAACTTCGTATCTCTCCTACCCGGGGCACAAATTGGAACACTTCTTTGTGCCTCGGGCTGAAGTTAGCGTATACGTAAGAGAGAACATCTGTTCTCGACTCCTCAGCAGTTTTGAATTATCGGACCTGTCCATCCTTTAGCTACACGTAGACAGTGATGACCCATAGCGGGAATGCTGAAGCAAACCGACTCATGTAGCATGTCCAAATGTCTACAGATTCCTTGCTACAGCAGATACCATCCACAGAGATCGTGATCCTCGGGGATTTTAATACTCACCACGCGAAATGGCTCGGTTCACGTTTAACCGATCATGCGGGGAGACTGGAGATCTGTTCATGATTTTGCCTGACACAATGTATGGTCTGACACAACTGGTTACTTTGTCTACGCGGATTCCAGGTGTGGAGGATCATGCACATTCCCTGTAAGACCTTCTGCTGACCTCTCATCCGGTTGGATATCAGGTTTCCGTGGACGCCCCTCTTAGCTCCTCGGACCATTGTCTAGTCCGGAGTGCGGTGCCGCCGTGTTTGGCACTATAGGTCGACCGATTCGGACAAAATGCGCTCTTTTTTGCATCCTACTCTTGGGGGCGGGTTTGCTTCTCGCCGAACGATCAAAACGTTATTGCTTATTCTGTCGTTGATGAGGTACTTCAGGATATCGAACTTTTTATTCCTTCCTTTGTGGTGCAGATCTCAGCCATGGTTTAGTCGCCCTTGTAATAACATCACGCTATAAGCAGGAGTACTACCGAGCCTAGGCTAACGCATCAACGTCCCGGGATGTAAATAACATCGCCCTTTAAAAGAAGTATTTTCCGCCTCCAGATCCTTCAAAACGGTGCTCTGACTTTGCCTTGGCAGGCAAAAAACATAGGCAGCATTGGCGAGAAACTAGATCACCTTCCTTCTGGAACCCGTGCATTCTGGTCTCTCGCCAAGGCTCCCCAAGGAAACTTATGTCAGCCGTCTCTTCCATCTCTGCACAGGGAGGACGACTCACTGGCCCATGCAGCAAAGGAGAAAGCCGATCTGCTAGGCTCTTTTTGCGTCCAACTCTACTATCGATTACGGGACGAGCACACCGTCGATCCCGCGGTGTGAGTGCTCCATGCCGGATATGCGGTTCACACAGCGCTCGGTTCGCAAAGCACTCCTCTCCCTGGACATCCACAAGTCGAGTGGGTCCCCCATTAGGGCATTACACCTATTTTAAAAAAGTGTTTTCAATTAATTCTAGAGTGATAATAAACCACTATAATATTTATATATTGTTTTAAACCGAATAGTGCCTTAAAAATTACTTTTAATCTATCGTTTTAAATTTTCGCGTGAAAACGCTAGCCGCCATGCTGTCCAACTCGTGACGTCACTGTCCTCAATTTTTCCGATTTTGCAAAGGAATAAGATACTTTTTAATATTTAATAATGAGTTATCATCTAAATTATTGTTGTGTCTATGAGTCGTATGGCGTCGGTCTCGACGGTATTCGATGTAATCATGTCGCCCATCGTGCAAACGGCCTTTACTGTACAATACGAACTGGGAATACTTTATGATGTTTTGTTTCTTATAACGTTACCCCCCCCCCCCCACACACACACTAGGATTTTCTCCTGTATCATGTAGGTAGTTTACAAACATCAATTGCATAAGGACAAACATACAGATCCTAAACAATTATTTGTAGGCCATACAAAAATTGTTCTGTGCGGGATTCGAACTCGAGGCTCCCACCGCAGCAACTCATTGCTAAACGACTACGCCACGGAGCTGTCAAAATATTATCCGTACTGACGTGACATGTCAAATGCGAGGGGTGGACTGAAAAGTCAGGCGTCACATTCTAGCGAGTTGCATTTGATTAGTTTACGTTACAAATCGAACGATGAAAAACTACTTTGCGATTGAAAAAAAAAACGTATAATCAATTTTTATAATCTATTCAAAGTTGAAGAAATCCTCATAGGTTCAACAAATTAGGATATGTTACTATCATGGGCCCAGATATGACTGACTAGGCCGAACTTAGTACTACAATAGTGATGAGTAAACAATTTCGTTTTATTATATATCAAAGGATACCAAATCATTGGTAATAAATGACTCTAACCAAAGTACATACATACGCACACATGAAGTATCATTCGAGAAGGACGACAGTCTTGCGCACGCGTCGACGCCGCTTCATCACCGGATTAACACAGCAGGCATATGCTTTGCTTAGTTATGCTCTATCTGTGTCTATTAAAGACTTAGTTTTCTTTATTTTCTTGCTCAATTCTTACTTCACCTAACCTTTTATAAAGCAGGTCTGTTTTTCCTTAATTCCGATTTTTCTAGTTTAACTATGAATATTTGTGTGACAAACATTTAAATTTTCTGTGTAACTTTTAGTAAAAACTTTGTATAACAGGTTTAGATTTTACTTGAAAAGCTTTTGGTGTTGTGCTGATTAATATTATCTAGGTTGTAAATTTTAGCTTAGTTGTTCTTCGTATTCCAATTACACGAGTAGCTTATTTTAGAGGACCAAATTATTCTAAAATATATTTTTTTACATTTTAAGTAAAACTTATTTTGTTATTTTGCACCATCATTAGTTTAAAATGTTTCAATGTTGTTATTAATATTTAACCATTCAGGATGTATTAGCTAGTCGTTTTTTGTTTATCATACATTATTTA